TAACTCTCCTCTCCTATTTTTAACTGACAAATCCATTTGTTCTCTAGGCTTTCTTAACTTGTTAATTCACTCAAAACTTTTTCTTATTTTCAACAAAATTGTTGATAACATCTCACCCACTCTCTCATTTGCTCTCTTTTTACATTGCTTACACCCATCTTTCCCTTAACTTCCCTCTCTTTTTCTCCATATACTCTTCCCTCCTTGCATCACTTCTACTTTGAAAAACTTCTCATATGCTAACTTTTTCTCCCTTACTACTCTCTTTACATCACATTCCACCAATCGCTCCTCTTCCCTCCTGCACCCCCTTTCCTGTAACCACAAAAATTTTGCTGAACACTCTAACACTACATTTTTAAACCTACCCCAAAACCTCTTCGACCCCATTGCCTATGCTCTCATTAGCCCATCTATCCTCCAATAGCTGTTTTATATCTTACCCTAACTGCCTCCTCTTTTAGTTTATAAACCTTCACCTCTCTCTTCCCTGATGCTTCTATTCTCCTTGTATCCCATCTACCTTTTACTCTCAGTGTAGCTACAACTAAAAAAGTGATCTGATATATCTGTGGCCCCTCTATAAATTTTACATCCTGAAGTCTACTCAACAGTCTTTTATCTACCAATACATAATCCAAAACTACTGTCATTCGCCCTACATCATATCGTGTATACTTATTTATCCCCTTTTTCTTTAAAAAATTTTATTACCTATAACTAAACCCCCTTTCTATACAAAGTTCAATCAAAGGGGGTCCCATTATCATTTACACCTGGCACCCAAAACTTACCTACCACACCCTCTCTAAAAATTTCTCCTACTTTAGCATTCAAGTCCCCTACCACAATTACTCTCTCACTTGGTTCAAAGGCTCCTATACATTCACTTAACATCTCCCAAAATCTCTCTCTCTCCTCTGCATTCCTCTCTTCTCCAGGTGCATACACGCTTATTATGACCCACTTCTCGCATCCAACCTTTACTTTAATCCACATAATTCTTGAATTTACACATTCATAATTCTCTTTTCTCCTTCCATAACTGATCATTTAACATTACTGCTACCCCTTCCTTTGCTCTAATCTCTCAGATACTCCAGATTTAATCCCATTTATTTCCCCCCACTGAAACTCTCCTACCCCTTTCAGCTTTGTTTCGCTTAGGCCAGGACATCCAACTTTTTCATTCATAACATCAGCAATCATCTGTTTCTTGTCATCCGCAACACTCCACGCACATTTAAGCAACCCAGTTTTATAAAGTTTTTCTTCTTCTCTTTTTTAGTAATTGTATACAGGGAGAAGGGGTTACCAGCCCATTGCTCCGGCATTTTTAGTCGCCTCATACGACACGCATGGCTTACGGAGGAAAGATTCTTTTCCACTTCCCATGGACAATAGAAGAAATAAAAAAGAACAAGAGCATTTAGAAAAGAGAAGAAAAAACCTAGATGTATGTAATATATATATGCATGTGCGTGTCTGTGAAGTGTGACCAAAGTGTAAGTAGGAGTAGCAAGATATCCTGTTATCTTAGCGTGTTTATGAGACAGAAAAAAGAAACCAGCAATCCTACCATCATGCAAAACAATTACAGGTTTTTGTTTCACAGTCATCTGGCAGGACGGTTAGTACTTCCCTGGGTGGTTGCTGTTACCAACCTACTACATAAAGACCTCTTTAGCCTTATCTAAATACTGTTCACTTATATGTTTCACTGTAAACACCTGGTCCACACACCCCCTACCTTTCCTAAAGCCTCCTTGTTCATCTGCTATCCTATTCTCCATCTTACTCTTAATTCTTTCAATAATAACTCTACCATACACTTTACCAGGTATACTCAACAGACTTATCCCCCTATAATTTTTGCACTCTTTTGTCCTCTTTGCCTTTATACAAAGGAACTATGCATGCTCTCTGCCAATCCCTAGGTACCTTACCCAGTCAGCAGAATTTATATATCATAAACTATTAACATATATCAGTCTATATACAAGATACACGCTGTTGAAAATATATCACTATTACAGTTAATGACTGATGCTCATTCTCAGTCATCATTACTTTGCAGTTTCTTTTTTTTTTTTTTCTCAACAAGTCGGCCGTCTCCCACCGAGGCAGGGTGACCCAAAAAAGAAAGAAAATCCCCAAAAAGAAAATACTTTCACCATCATTCAACACTTTCACCACACTCACACATTATCACTGCTTTTGCAGAGGTGCTCAGAATACAACAGTTTAGAAGCATATACGTATAAAGATACACAACATATCCCTCCAAACTGCCAATATCCCAAACCCCTCCTTTAAAGTGGTAAAACTTCCCATTTCCAGGACTCAAGTTCGACTATATGAAAATAACTGGTTTTCCTGAATCCCTTCACTAAATATTACCCTGCTCACACTCCAACAGATCGTCAGGTCCCAAGTATCATTCGTCTCCATTCACTCCTATCTAACACGCTCATGCACGCTTGCTGGAAGTCCAAGCCCCTCGCCCACAAAACCTCCTTTACCCCCTCTTTCCAACCCTTTCGAGGACGACCCCTACCCCTCCTTCCTTCCCCTATAGATTTATATGCTTTCCATGTCATTCTACTTTGATCCATTCTCTCTAAATGACCAAACCACCTCAACAACCCCTCTTCTGCCCTCTGACTAATGCTTTTAAATTTAAATCCACACCTTCTCCTAATTTCCACACTCCGAATTTTCTGCATAATATTTACACCACACATTGCCCTTAGACAGGACATCTCCCCCTGCCTCCAACCCAGTCCTCGTTGCTGCATTTACCACCAAGCTTCACATCCATATAAGAGTGTTGGTACTACTATACTTTCATACATTCCCTTCTTTGCCTCCATAGATAACGTTTTTTGACTCCACATATACCTCAATGCACCACTCACCTTTTTCCCTCATCAATTCTATGATTAACCCCATCCTTCATAAATCCATCCGCCGACACGTCAACTCCCAAGTATCTGAAAACATTCACTTCTTCCCTACTCCTCCTCCCCAATTTGATATCCAATTTTTCTTTATCTAAATCATTTGATACCCTCATCACCTTACTCTTTTCTATGTTCACTTTCAACTTTCTACCTTTACACACATTCTCAAACTCATCCACTAACCTTTGCAATTTTTCTTTAGAATCTCCCATAAGCACAGTATCATCAGCAAAAAGTAACTGTGTCAATTCCCATTTTGAATTTGATTCCCCATAATTTAACCCCACCCCTCTCCCGAACACCCTAGCATTTACTTCTTTTACAACCCCATCTATAAATATAGTAAACAACCATGGTGACATTACACATCCCTGTCTAAGACCTACTTTTACCAGGAAGTATTCTCCCTCTCTTCTACACACCCTAACCTGAGCCTCTCTATCCTCATAAAAACTCTTAACAGCATTTAGTAACTTACCACCTATTCCATATACTTGCAACATCTGCCACATTGCTCCTCTATCCACTCTATCATATGCCTTTTCTAAATCCATAAATGCAATAAAAACTTCCCTACCTTTATCTAAATACTGTTCACATATATGCTTCAATGTAAACACTTGATCTACACATCCCCTACCCACTCTGAAACCTCCCTGCTCATCTGCAATCCTACATTCTGTCTTGCCTCTAATTCTTTCAATTATAACCCTACCGTATACTTTTCCTGGTATACTCAGTAAACTTATTCCTCTATAATTTTTACAATCTCTTTTGTCCCCTTTCCCTTTATATAAAGGGACTATACATGCTCTCCGCCAATCCCTAGGTACCTTCCCCCACTTTCATACATTTATTAAACAAAAGTACCAACCACTCCAACACTATATCCCCCCCTGCTTTTAACATTTCTGTCATGATCCCATCAGTTACAGCTGCTTTACCCCCTTTCATTCTACGTAATGCCTCACGTACCTCCACCACACTTACATTCTGCTCTTCTTCACTCCTAAAAGATGGTGTACCTCCCTGGCCAGTGCATGAAATTACCGCCTCCCTTTCTTCCTCAACATTTAAAAGTTCCTCAAAATATTCTCGCCATCTTCCTAATACCTCCCTTTCCCCATCTACTAATTCCCCTACTCTGTTTTTAACTGACAAATCCATACTTTCCCTAGGCTTTCTTAACTTGTTTAACTCACTCCAAAATTTTTTCTTATTTTCATTAAAATTTCTTGACATTGCCTCTCCCACTCTATCATCTGCTCTCCTTTTGCACTCTCTCACCACTCTCTTCACCTTTCTTTTACTCTCCATATACTCTGCTCTTCTTATAACACTTCTGCTTTGTAAAAACCTCTCATAAGCTACCTTTTTCTCTTTTATCACACCCTTTACTTCATCATTCCACCAGTCACTCCTCTTTCCTCCTGCCCCCACCCTCCTATAACCACAAACTTCTGCCCCACATTCTAATACTGCATTTTTAAAACTATTCCAACCCCTTTTATCTTATAATAATTAATCAGTGTTCTGAATCTGCACAAATTGAATAAAAAATCTAGATCTTTTGGGTTCACACTAATTTCTTGGTCATAAAGTTGTATTGAAAATGTTAAATATGCACACTCATTTGATAAAATAGCTTGATTCAAACATCAGAACAGGAAGAAATATATAGATATCTTGTTAATATCTTAATTAGGCAGTTATGGTGAGATAGTTTTAAGCAACTTGATTTCACTTTTTTTCTTAAGCAAACAATTGTATTTCTGAGTTATGTAAAGTTAATTGTCAGGAGACATTCCTTAAAGCTTCAATAACTAGGTTAATATCCTGAATTACAACTTTTGTTTTGGTAATTCTCATTCTAAGTACAGTAGTAGTGTCTGTACACATTTATTTTTTACCTATGACATATTTTTTTGAAGGATATTGGCTGTCATGATATAATTATTATGGCCAAACATAGTTAAAAAATTTTTATCAATAAATATTTTCACTACAGAAATTTTTTTAAGTTCATCACATTACTAAACTTCTCAATTTAAGCTTTTGTTTGCCATTCTAGATAAACAGAAGGAGTTGTCTCAGCGAGAGGCTGAAACAAGGAGACAGAGACGGGAAGAGGAGAGACGTGAGGAAGAGAGGCGGGAAGAGCACCAAGTGGGACGCCATCGCGGGGAAGTGTCAGCACATAAACATAGCCGAACTCATTCTCCTAGTGAAGCACCAATACAGAAGAAGAGGAAACATCACCATGATTCTTATCCTTCAATAGGTAAATGCAGGTTTTGATTATTTGTGAAGGTTGTTTCATTTTATATGTTTTTTTCAACACACTGGCCGTATCCCACCGAGGCAGGGTGACCTAAAAAGAAAAATTAAAGCCTTTCTTTTTAAAGTTAGTAATTTATACAGGAGAAAGGGTTACTAGCTCCCTTGCTCCTGGCATTTAGTCGCCTCTTATGAAACACATGGCTGATGGGGGAAGAATTCTTTTACACTTCCCCTCAGAGATAAAAGGAAATAAAGAAGAACAAGAACTATTAAGAAAACAGAAGAAAACCCAGTTGTGTGTATCTTCTTCTTTCAACAAACTGGCTGTATCCCACCGGAGAGACGAGAGGAAATAAACAAGAACAAGAACTAGTAAGGAAATAGAAGAAAGCCCAGAGGGGTGTGTATATAGTATATGCATGTACATGCATGTGTAGTGTGACCTAAGTGTAAGTAGAAGTAGCAAAATGCACCTGTTATCTTATGTGTTTATGAGATAGGAAAAAAGACACCAGCAGTCCTGCCATCGTGTAAAACAATTACAAGTTTCTGTTTCACACTCACTTGGTAGGATGGTAGTACCTCCCTGGGTGGTACTACCATCCTACCAGCCTACTACCTAGGTTCATTTTATGTATTATACTGTATGTTTTTTTTTTCAACTTACCAGCCATCTTCCACCAAGGCAGGATGATCCAAAAAGGATGAAAACTATAAGAAATTCCTTCTTTTTGCATTTAGTAATGTATACAGGAAGAGGGGTTACTAGCCCCTTGCTCCTGGCATTTTAGTCTCCTCTTAAGACACACTTGGCTTGTTCTCTATTATGTTTAATTTCTCTCCAAAGTTGGTGTAAATTATTATTTTTTTTTTTTTTTTGCAGAGGGTGCAGAAGAGGTGACAATTGTTAGTGATGAGGATGAAGAAGAGGAGGAAGAGGAGGAGGAAGAGGAAGAAGAGGAGGAAGAGGAGGGTGAGTATGAAGAAATTCTAGAGCCTGTGGTTCGTAAAGGTTCCAAAGAAAAGAGATCAGATGAAGAAGGAAAGAAGAAGAAGAAAGATGATGGAAGAGGAATAACTCAAGTGGAGTCTGGTGGCAGTGGTTCATCTGATAGTGAGTCTGATTCAGGTAACAAACTTTTTTTCCAACTTTTTGCCTGTTATAAATGTTTGCAATTGTTTTAATTTTTTTTTTTATCTTTAAAGCCCTATTAATATTTTCCCTTTTAATTTATTGTGTGTAATAATAATGGTTTCTTTTAGCATGTTTAAGCTTTGCATTATATGATATATATATTATTATGTATGAGTGAGTGAGGTGAAAGTGTTGAACGATGATGAAAGTATTTTCTTTTGGGGGATTTTCTTTCTTTTTGGGTCACCCTGCCTCGGTGGGAGACGGCCGACTTGTTGAAAAAAAAAGAAAAAAATTTTTATATATATAACTAGATTTGAGTCACTGATGTACTTCATGCAGAGTTGTTTTCTATCAACACATTAACTGTGTAAAGGGGAGCTTTTTATTCTTTAGCATTGCTCTTTGTAGAGCTAATCCTAAAAATGTAGGAGAGTAGGAGATATGTAATCATATTATATGACAGGTGTTTTTAGGAAACTTTTTTTCATTTTGAGAAAGATTAGACCAAGAGTGGGCATTGATTGTTGTTTTGTATAAAGTGTTATTTAACAGAACAACTGCTACTGGTAGTTTATAATAAGTGAGGCATTAGATTATACTAGCAAATGAAGGCAGCCTTTACACTTGTAAATATTGGCTTTCATAATTTGAAGTGAACTTTCGTTGGATGGCAGGATGTTCGTCCCCTGTAGGAGATGAGAGCTTATTGAGCGCCAGTAAATAATTTTATTGTTAACAATATGGTTGTGATGAAAACTTTTATAGAGAGTGCTAGACACAACATGTGTTGTGGAAACGTGATGTAAGCTTCATACTATTAGTAATAAAAACATTAGGTGACAAGTTATAGCGAACGTTATGAGGCTGGATGTTATATGTGGTATTAAACTATCTAATGCATTGTATACAGTAGTTATGGCACATCATTCAAGCTGTAATGGTTATGTGCACCAGCAGTCAATATGTGGCCACTGTAAATATCCTAGCATGTATGTTCAAAATCACTAAATCTCACTTCATCCCATTGATTGTATATTTTGTGGAACAGTGGTAACAGTTGCTGAGTGTCTTCCTACTCCACAGCAGTATTGAAACTGCTGGTGGAATGGCCATCCAACAGAGTAGTATTGATCAGTTGCACAGTGTACTGTGCTCAACACAGGCATGTAATGACCTCTCCAGTAAATGCTTTTTTCTTAAATGTCCTTGCATAAGATCGTGGCATCATCTGCAAACATGTTTATATAATTTTTTAAATTTCTTTTGGCAAACCATGCACGTTAGAAATATTATCAGGGCAAACATTGATTTTGAGGCACCGTTGTGGTGACATTACTTCAGGAGTATATATTTTTTACCCCTACATTTTCATGAATAGAAAAACCCTCATCCACTAAAATAGTTTCTTTTATTCCTCTTATATTTTATTCTTTGTAGATTAATCTTTCCTGAAGAACTTGATCAAAAGCTTTCTTGAATTCTTAATAATGCAGTTTGCAAGCACTTTCTTTTGAAAGTTAATTGTTTTGTTTTCATCATAAGTTGATGTTATTGGTGTTCTGAGACTTTCTTCATATGTTTGCCTATTGTACCTGCTCAGAAGGTATTAACTCATATGACACGACTTAGCAAATGTAGATGTAATCCCAAAGCAGCAGGCTTTATGGCTGGTGTTGTGTGTGGTGTTGAGTGAGCTGTTGTAAGGATCTTCAGAAAGTAATGCCTCTCATGGCTTACTTGGAGTCTGAGTTTTATAGGAAGCTAATTACTGAAGGACTATGGCTACAAGATGCCCAGACATTTCTCTATCAAATTTTTTCCACTGGGGAATTTTAAATATCACTGTATATTGCAATCAATCTTTGATACTGAAGATACTACAGTTTAATATTCATTATGAAGTGAGAGAGTTAAATACAATAACATCATTCATTGACCATCATAATGGCCAACATATTCAACATTCTCCTTATTTGCACCACTTTCTGAAGTCTCTATTGTAAATAGATTTTTCTTGGAGCTTCTTAATGGCTGAGTGAGTCATTGTTTTGTGAAAGTAACTTTTTCTTGCGCACGCTTGTATTCATTATTTTGTTGGCTTAGATTTACTAAGATTGCAGTACGTTTTGTGTTTTTTCTCGTCCTAATAATAGAACATTTATTGGTTTGGTGTCTGAGGAGATCATGTTGAAAAATATATTAAAGTACTGTGTGTTGCTATTTAGTTGTGCTCTACTGGCTATATGTGGATGATTGGCTTATATGAAGCCGTAGTACTGGGGTAGTATACGTTTAGTTCATCATAAAAAAAGGTATCTTATGCACTTCAACTTAACAGAACACATAGCCTAGTGAGTGTAACATTGTAACATTGTAACATTGGGTAATGTGATATGATGACTTTTATAATCTAATCATACATTTTACTGACTTCCTTACTCTGTAATATTTCTTCTTTCCTGCCCTTAAGCATAGTAGCACTTAGCATTATATAATTTTTCTGGGTTGTAAAGCCATAGTATTGAAGTACAGTACATTATACTAGGCAAATTAGTAACATACTAGCTTTTGTATTATGAAGCTGCTGGCTGATTTGCTTATGTAACTGAAGCAGTTGCTTTGAAACTTAAGAAACACAAATATTTATATACATGATGAGATTAACTTTATGTGTAAAGCAGTTGTGAGTTTGATGAGGCTAGCATTTATAGATTAGGAAATAAAAAATTATGAGGGATTTGAGAGCTTTTTTTTTAACACACTGGTAGAGAAACACATTAATCAGTATTCATTTAGTAGGAGTCATCACAGTTCAAATGAGCCTTCAAACTGCCATGTCCCTAGTCCTCTCTCAGAGTGCAGGCACTGTACTTCCCACCTCTAGGACTTTAAGTCTGGCTAACCAGCTTCTCCAAGTCCTTTCATATATGTTACCTTGCTTACACTCCAGGAATATATAAGGCATCAGAACCACTATACTTGATTCATACTGACCTGACACATTCATACCAGCCTTCTAGATGCCTAAACCCCTAGCACTTACAGTTTTCTTTACCCCCCCCCCTCTTCCTCCCTCCAGTCCTTCCTGGGATGAGTCCTGGCCCTCTTTCCTTCCACACCAAATTTATACACAAGCTTTTTTGGTCATTCTGATTTCTTTCACTCTTACTGCCCAGTTCATCACAACAACTCCTCAGCATTCTGATTTACACTTTGGTAATCTCACTCTGTCCTCTAATTTCTACACTCTGAATTCTATGCATAATGTTAACACCACATTCAAACCTGACACACGCACAACATAAATATACACATGCATAAACAGGTTACACACAAAATGAGACTGCTTACCATAATTTATTGTTTTGAATGTACAATACTGAAATATGTATATGTTCCTCACCTAAACTAGTATGTCATAGAATTATCCTAAGTCACCTAGTCACTGATAAGGCTGAAAAATGGTATGGTGATAGTGACATGATGTGCAAAATAACACTTTTGTACAATTCAGGGCATTTATTAGAGGAAATGTTTTGCCATGAATGGCATCTTCAGTCCTATTGAAGCCACATGTGGCAAAATGTTTCCTCACATTAATGTACATCAGTGTGTCTTTCCATACAGATAAGGCTAGCTTAGGAAGGCTAGAAAAGTCAATACCCTCTCATTTCTGCTGAGTACCACTCAAGATTTTAGGGTTAGAGAACTTGTCCTTGCCATGAAGTTTGCTCTCTATTAGTTTCTAAACATTTTCTACTGGATTTAAATCCAGCAAGTTTCTAGGCCAGTCATTAAAATATGGAAAAAAAACAATAATTTAGCAAATTCTTTTAGTCTTTACCAGTGTGGCAAGGAGACACTGTCTTCCGTACAAAATTTGTCCTGGCACATCTTGAATATGTCAGGCAAATAGTCTTCTGAAAGTGTACTGATGGATGAGCATATTTATGGCACTGTGTATATATACTACAGTATACAATATTTGTATGTTTATTTTAAAGTAATCAGTGAACAGTATTCTTTACATTATTCTGTAATGCTGCAAATATTGCTTCGATCATGTATGCTTATTTTGACTTGCTTCACACACCTGTTTCCTGCTAAACAACATCAGAATGGATGATACATTTTAAATGCCTTGATGTTCAGTACAATCCAAAAATGGATGACAGGAATTAATCTTTGCATTTTTGTATTTTGAATAAGCCACCACCTCTGTATACTGTATAGGTGTGAAGCTGTGCATATTATACCTGAGACTTTTGATCCAAGGAATTGGAGCTACCCTTCTTTTCATTGGATCAAACTTAATTACCTCCCATTCCTCAGCACTGTATGATGCTCACTTGCTTAATGCTTCCCTGTCAGTCTAATAATAATAATAATAATAATAATAATAATAATAATAATAATGAGCTTATTACAAAATCAATCAATTTTCTGCTGAACTTTTGTATTAATTTTGAAGTGGTTGTAATTGTCAAAGTTACTCATCCCATTTTGAGTGGTATGTTGAAACTGAACTCAGACTGTTTTTATAGTGTAGCTCATTTATTGTTCACCTTATTGGCACTGCACTTTTATTTTTTATTCAGATTTTAAGCTACAGTAAAGGATTGTAATTGTGCCAGAGATAAGCAGTAAGTTATTTAGATATTTATTTAATTTATTAATTTGACACTTTAAGTAATCAAGCAGCAACAATGTTATACAACTGCTAGGTGCAGTGTTCATAGGAAAAATTGTACAGTGTTACTACAGTACAAGGAAACGATGAATTTGGACCTGGTCATTCCTAAGAATACACCATTGCTGTATGGCTATTTTGAATTGTGCATATATTCTCCTGTTTCCCATTTTTGGCTTACAATATTTCTTGCTGGTTGTTTTCAAATATTTGAGCTGCACCTTTGCCCCCCCCAGAGAGGGCTCGGTCCCCCACGCCTCCTCAGAGGAGTCAGTACCGTGAGTTGATTTCTTGTTTTTAAAGAGCTGTTTTCCTTTTTGGTTTGCTTGTCTGTTAAAAGAGCAGATGTGTGTAAGTTGACATACTTGCCATATGATGCTTGTTTTTTTCCTTGTAGTTGAGTGTTGAGTTTGTCAAGATATTCTTTTATAGAAATAGTGTCTTTGATTTCATCTAGTGGTCATTTAACTGTTAAATATCACCTTGTGTTAAACATGTACTTTAAGCAGATGTTTAATCCTTTCATTTGGAAAAGCTTTGCTGATGTTTGTGTCTGTTATAAGTTTACCTTGATACTATTTTGCATAATACTCTATAACATTCTCAGATGTAGTGTCAAGTCAGTGAATGGCAGTGTAATACAGTGGAACCTTGACTTACGAGTGTCCCAATGTACGAGTTTTTTGAGATATGAGCTGTCGCTCGGTTGATTTTTTGCTCTGAGTTACGAGCCAACTCCCCCTGCTTCCCCCTCAACCCAAAACCTGCACACCTCACTTGTTTAGCTGTGATTTCATGCTTTAATTCCATGGAAATCATCCTCTTTTTCTTCACAGCACTGTTCTTTATACTTACTTTCTTAGGACCCATGCTTAGAAAAATGAAATTTGGCCAAACGACTGTCAAAAATGTAAGCAAAGCATGAGAGAACTGCTCCCACAGCGAGGTAAACAGTGCACTGAGTTGGCGGCATTCGTTATTATTGTTATAATAAAATAATAATAATTATTATTTTTATATGTATTATTATTATTGTTAATTTAGGTAACTAGAGCACAGATTCAGTTCCCTAGATGAAGAGCCCCTCACCAGCGTCAAGGATCCTTGATGCTTCAGTTCCCTAAATTAATAATAATAATAATAATAATAATAATAATAATAAAAATAATTCTTTCAACACACCGGCTGTATCCCACCGAGGCAGGGTGGCCCAAAAAGAAAAACAAAAGTTTCTCTTTTTAAATAGTAATTTATACAGGAGAAGGGGTTACTAGCCCCTTGCTCCCGGCATTTTAGTCGCCTCTTACAACACGCATGGCTCACAAAGGAAGAATTCTGTTCCACTTCCCCATGGAGATAGGAAATAAACAAGAACTAGGAAGAAAATAGAAGAAAACCCATAGGGAGTGAGTATATATATGCTTGTACATGTATGTGTAGCGTGACCCAAGTGTAAGTAGAAGTAGCAAGACGTACCTGAAATCTTGCATGTTTATGAGAAAGAAAAAAGGACACCAGCAATCCTTCTTTCTTTCTTGTCAACACACTGGCGATATCCCACCGAGGTGGGGTGGCCCAAAAGGAAAAATGAAAGTTTCTCCATTTACATTTAGTAATATATACAGGAGAAGGGGTTACTAGCTCCTTGCTCCCGGCATTTTAGTCACCTCTTACAACATGCCTGGCTTACAGAGGAAGAATTCTGTTCCACTTTCCCATGGAGGTAAGAGGAAATAAACAAGGACAAAAACTATAAAGAAAACCCAGAGGGGTGTATATATATATGCTTGTACATGTATGTGTAGTGTGACCTAAGTGTAAGTAGAAGTAGCAAGACGTACCTGAAATCTTGCATGTTTATGAGACAGAAAAATGGACACCAGCAATTCTACCATCATGTAAAACAATTACAGGATAAAAATAATTATAAAATAATAATAATTATTATAATAGAGCTTCAGTTCCCTAAATTAAGAATAATAATAATAATAATAATAATAATAATAATATAATAATAATAATACATACTACGTACATAATAATAATTCAGAATGGTACTGCTAGTTGGCACAGCTGAAGCCAAAACATCTGGTAACCAGTACACATGATTACATTGCTGTAGGAGCAGATCTCTCGTGCTTGCTTGCATTTTTTAGTCATTTTGCCAAATTTCTTTTTTCTAACCATGTGTCCTAAGAAAATAACTGCAAAGGACAGTGCTGAGAAGAAAATGATGATTTCCATGGAATTAAAGCATGAAATCATAGATAAACGTAAGCAAGGTGCACAAGTTGTGTTTAGTGATTAAGCGAAACAAATTGTATAAGTTCAATGATTAAACAAAACAAATTGTATCAGTTAAGTTCAGTGATTAAACAAAACAAATTGTATCAGGTAAGTTCAGTGATCAAACAAAACAATGTTGTTGTTGGAGGTTTACAGGGCCACTGACATGATACACCGCACCCTCAACCTCCTCCACCATCTCTGCTCCAAGTGTGTAAGTACTACATATACAGTTTAATATTTCTTTACATTCTGTGGTTTATTATGATTTATTATGTTTTTATATATGAGATTTCTTATTTATAAATACATACATTGTTTCAGTGTTTTCCTTAGAAAACTAGTGATCTATTGCAGTTAGCCTCTCATATATTCTGTTTTCTCTTATAATAAGAGCATGGGAAGATACTATAGTCAAAGTGGGACAAGATATGGTGGATGCTTCTGCTGCTGTCTCTGCCACCATATTATGGCCTCTTTTATTCATTCTAAAGTATATATCATGTTTCTGTGTTAATTATATTGTTTATAATGTCATATAAAATGAATTATGATAGATAAATAAGCCGTACAGTTGATAATAGCATCATAGTCAAGTATTTTGTCTTGCCTCCAGAGTGCAGGAACGGATTAATGGCTTTTTCAATTAATTTAAATGAAGAAAATTGATTTGATAAACGAGCAAATTGAATTGCGAGCTAGGTCACGGAACGGATTAAACTCATAAGTCAAGGTTCCCACTGTATATGAGTGACAAGGGCTATGGTTTTTAGCAGCATAAATTACTACTAGTATATGAAAAGAGAATTTCATCATATTGGGAGAGTAACAGTTGTGTAAGGAGTATAACTGTGGACTTGTACTTGCAAGATTACCAGTTCAGTACACAGTGCTCTTTACACACTGTTATATTAACCTTTGAAGGGATTATTTGATTAAGTCAAATGAATCTTTTTGTTTTCTGCCTTTGGAGGGACTATTTAAGATGAGAAATTAGTGAAGTTACATGTGCAACACCTACATGTATTTATTATTTGAAGATGTATTTCCAACCAGTGGCTTTTTCAGTTCAGTACAGAGATGGTATATGAAAACAGTAGAAGACGAGATAATCAGTCTCTCAGCTTGGAAGCCAGTGTTCAGTACCTTAGTCTTGTTGAGGGACTGATTCCCTCTGATACTATCTTTGTCTATCACAAGTGTCTTCAAATAATAATACCCAGGTGTTGCATACATGTCTAATTACACATCTTGTCAGTGTTTTATACCAATATTGTAATGGCTCTATTCAACTTAGGGTTGCAGCCATTTCAAAATGTTCCCTTATATTACGAGTTCAAATTGTCTCAAGGGGTGTCTCATTACTGGTAGCTTCAAGTCATATGGCTCCTACAAGGACCACAAATTTTACCTTTACAATATGCATATGAAGAGAAATCACAAGGAGACCAATATTAGGAGAAATATAAATGCAAAATTGGAATCATTACTCCTTTACAGGTTTGGGTTTTTGATGTGCTCAGTCATAACCATACAATAATTGTAAGAAAGCTAGGCAGTAAGTTGACACATGGTAAATCAAATACACATAGTCAATGGCTTTATTGCAAGGACATTTTGCTCAGTTTGAACTTTTCAAGTTGCATAAACTGATAAAGATCACGTTGAGTTAAATGGTGTTTAATAAAGGCTTTGTCTATGTGTGTCTGATTTTAAAGTATATTTACCTGTAGTATCACTCACAGTATAGTATATGTATTTGTGATGTTTTATGCAAATTGTAATATTTTGTAAATTGTCACACTTTGTTAGTTATCTAATGTTTTATACATGGTACAAAAAATATGATTTTTAAATACAGTGGACCCCCAGTTTACGATATTATTTCATTCCAGAAGTATGTTCAGGTGCCAGTACTGACCGAATTTGTTCCCATAAGGAATATTGTGAATTAGATTAGTCTATTTCAGACCCCCAAACATACACATACAAATGCACTTACATAAATACACTTATATAATTGGTCGCATTGGGAACTGATTGTAAACCGGGGGTCCACTGTACTGTAGTTCTTATTTTCAAGATATATATTTATACATCTTAGGCGGGGTGGCCCAAAAGGAAAAACGAAAGTTTCTCCTTTTACATTTAGTAATATACACAGGAGAAGGGGTTACTAGCCCCTTGCTCCTGGCAGTTTAGTCGCCTCTTACAACACGCATGGCTTACGGAGGAAGAATTCTGTTCCACTTTCCCATGGAGGTAAGAGGAAATGAACAAGAACTAGAAAGAAAATAGAAGAAAACCCAGAGGGGTGTGTATATATATGCTTGTACATGTATGTGTAGTGTGACCTAAGTGTAAGTAGAGGTAACAAGACGTACCTGAAATCTTGCACGTGTATGTGTATGTGTGGTCCTGTGGATTAAGGCATCATGAGTTTTCGCCCATCATGAGGCAGGCCAAAGCAACATGGGTTCGACTCCTTGGCTAGTCGCAGTGTTGTTATTTATACATATATATATATATACATGTATAGTGGTACCCTGAGTTTCGAACAGCTTCCAACTTGACCAGTTATGTAAGTGTATTATTGTAAGTGCTTTTGTAAGTGTATTTTGGGGGTCTGAAACGGACTAATCTAATTTATATTATTCCTTATGGGAACAAATTCACTCAGTAGCAGCACTCAAACATCCTTCTGGAACGAAGAAAGTTTGAAACTCAGGGTACCACTGTATATTTTTTTTAACACACTGGCCGTCTCCCACCGAAGCACGGTGACCCGAAAAAGAAACACTTTCATCATCATTTACACTATCACTGTCTTTCCAGTGGCACATAGATACGACAGTTTAGATGACTCTGTTAACAGCAAATATCCCAGATCCCTCCTCTTAGAGTGCAGGCACTATATTTTTATGTTCTTTCTTTCAACGCACCGGCCGTATCCCACGAAGCAGGGTGGCCCAAAAAGAAAAACAAAAGTTGCTCTTTATGAATTTAGTACCATGTACAGGAGAAGGGGTTACTAACCCCTTGCTCCCAACATTTTAGTCGCCTCTTATGACATGCATGGCTTATGGAGGAAGAACTTTGTTCCACTTCCCTATGGAGATAGGAGGAAATGAACAAGAACTAGTAAGAAAACAGAAGAAAACCCAGAGGTGAGTGAGGTGAAAGTGTTGAATGATGATGAAAGTATTTCTTTTTGGGGATTTTCTTTCTTTTTGGGTCCCCCTGCCTCGGTGGGAGACGGCCGACTTGTTGAAAAAAAAAATATATATATATATATGCTATATATACACCTACCATCCGACTTACGACCTGCTCGACTTACGACCACTCGACTTACGACCACTCGACTTACGACCGTGTTTTTTATGCCAAATTTCTGGGAAATAAACAACTATTTGTGTTGTACACAGTGTTTATCCTAAACCTTACAGTATAAAATCAGTACTAACAGCATAAAAAGTAAAGTAAAACATGAAATACCAAAATAAAACAATAAAATAAAGTCATTACAAAAATGTTTTGTTGATATTCAGTAAAGTTCGACTTACGACCATTTCGACTTACGACCGGTTTCTCGGAACTGAACTTGGTCGTAAGTCGGATGGTAGGTGTATATATATATTTTTTTTCAACAAACCGGCGGTATCCCACGAAGGCGGGGTGGCCCAAAAAGAAAAATGAAAGTTTCTTTTTAAATTTAGTAATTTATACAGGAGAAGGGGTTACTAGCCCCTTGCTCCCGGCGTTTTAGTCACCTCTTACAACACGCATGGCTTACGGAGGAAGAATTGTGTTCCAGTTCCCCATGGAGATAAGAGGAAATAAACAAGAGCAAGAACTAGAAAGAAAATAGCAGAAAATCCAGAGAGGTGTGTATATGCTATATACTATAAGTAAGGACCCCAATGGAAATAAGTCACTCTATCTGACTTTTTTGGGTTATCCTAGGTTCTCTACACATATGCTGCTATGTATGATAATTCTATGTAACTGTATTTGTGTATACCTGAATAAACTTACTTACTTACTTACTTACTATGTATGTGTAGTGTGACCTAAGGGTTAGTAGAAGCAGCAAGATATACCTGAAACCTTGCAGGTTTATGAGAAAAAAAAAAGACACCAGCAATCCTACCATCATGTAAAACAATTACAGGCTTTTGCTCTACACTCACTTGGCAGGACGATAGTACCTCCCTGGACGGTTACTGTCTACCAACCTACTACCTAGAATTTATATATTTAATTAATTTATTTATATAATTTAATATAGTTTTTAAGACACTGGCCATCTCTCACATAGGCAGAGCGACCTGAAAAAGAAAAAAAAAATTTTTTGATTCAGTAATTTATGCAGGAGAAGGGGTTACTATCCCCTTCTCCCAACATTTTAGTCGCTTCTTATGACCTGCGTAACTTATGGAAGAGGACTTCCACTTACCTTTGGGGAGCAGGATATATATTATGTCATTAAAAAAGATATACAATACTGTAATGATCATTTTCATCAGTTTACAACTGAATCAGATGTTTTTAGAATGTAATATTTTTTAGGGGCTTTTGCTAGATATGTAACAATATTGGTAATGATAAATGATAGTGTTTCTTTCTTTGAGCCATACAAATAATGAAGATAAATGTATTAGTGCAGTAGTAGGCACAAAAGAAACTACTAATTATGCAGTGCATTTCAAGCAACTGATCTTAAAGCGTGCTTGTTACTTAAGAACTAGACTTAGACTATTAAGTAGGACTAGTGCACTGAACTACAATCATAAGTACAATAATAAAGGTAGGTAATGACTGAAGGTCACTTGTAAAAGAATTACATATTATTTTAATTGATTCAGTGATCTTCATTGTTATGGAGTGACTGAATAAAGATGGTGAAGATACAAGAAGTTACTGCTTAGATTACAATACAAATATAATGGAACAAGATTTGTTACCAATTATTATGGAAGTTAAAAGAAGACTGGAAGAAGAACAGGGGCACAATTGGATGAAAATGGGTTTTGTCTGACAGAGTGTATTGCTGCCACTTTGGAAAAACTTAAAAAAATTAAAATAAAACAAATATTTGCCTTGAAAAACTTACATCTAGTTACACAGTGTTTACTGAGTGATTGTGCTGATATTTATGTTTAGTGCAACCTGCTATAACATATTTCTGTTTCCCAGCTATTATTTTACGCTGAGCACTAGTTTTGGAAACACCAATATGATGATAATTCAATATTTACAGGAGATACATTTCTAGAGGTCTCTGCAAGGCCCGGTGGCCTGGTGGCTAAAGCTCCCGTTTCACACACGGAGGGCCCGGGTTCGATTCCCGGCGGGTGGAAACATTCGACACGTTTCCTTACACCTGTTGTCCTGTTCACCTAGCAGCAAATAGGTACCTGGGTGTTAGTCGACTGGTGTGGGTCGCATCCTGGGGGACAAGATTAAGGACCCCAATGGAAATAAGTTAGACAGTCCTCGATGACGCACTGACTTTCTTGGGTTATCCTGGGTGGCTAACCCTCCGGGGTTAAAAATATGAACGAAAACTTATCTTATCTTATTTAGGCTGTAGCAGTAAAATATTTCATGGATATATTACAGTAAAATTAAATTTAATGTACAGTCAGTGTTGTAATGTTAACATAATACTGTTGGTTGTTTTTCACGTGGCTGTTTTAACACCAAGGTAAGTTCCCAATACAGGAGAACCATTCTACTCGCAAGTTCACGAATAACAATTAGGTCTTAGGCTGTTTCGCAAAATATATGGATATATTACAGTAATTAAATTTAATGTACATACATTCTTTTAATGACACATACGTCCCCATTTTTTTTACAGTGGCTGTTACACCAAGGTTGATTACGCCTAAAGAAGGAATAACATTCACCATAATTATTTCACAGCTTCTTTCCAAAGGGCAATGTATCATTCACTTTCAAATTATTCACATCTTTAACATCCCAAACTCATTAGAGTGCTGCACTAACTTCTGCCTCTAGAATTAACTTCACTAATGGTTTTCTTGAAGCCTTCGTAACTGTATCATGCTCAATCTCAGCCAGCACATTAAACCCAAAAGTCATTTGTCTCCTCTAATTTCTTGTCTGACATCTGCTGAATGCCCAGAGCCTTAATTCAAAGCCCCCTTTACAGCCTCAATTATACTTTTTGTTACACAATAATTTCTTTGTTCTTTAATCTCATGTCATCTGTAAAGACTTTAACTACTGCTATTTTATGTAAGATCATTATCTTTTAGATTGGCAAATTTCCTCAACACACTGGTGTTCTAAGGGCAATGTGTGGTGTAAATATTATGCAGAGAATTCAGAGTGTGGAAATTAGGAGGAGGTGTGGAGTTACTAAAAGTATTAGTCAGAGGACTGAAGAGGGGTTGTTGAGGTGGTTTGGTCATTTCGAGAGAATGGATCAAAGCAGAATGACTTGGAGAGCATATAAATCTGTAGGGGAAGGAAGGCAGGGTAGGGGTTGTCCTTGTAAAGGTTGGAGGGAGGGGTAAAGGAGGTTTTCTGGCAAGGGGCTTAGACTTCCAGCAAGCATGTGTGAGCGTGTTAGATAGGAGTGAATGGAGACGAATGGTTTTTGGGACCTGATGAGCTGTTGGAGTGTGAGCAGGGTAATATTTAGTGAAGGGATTCAGGGAAACTGGTTATTTTTATATAGCCGGACTTGAGTACTGGTAATGGGAAGTACAATGCCTGCACTTTGAAGGAGAGGTTTGGGATATTGGCAGTTTGGAGGGGTATGTTTATATGCTTCTAAACTGTTGTACCTGGGCGCCTCTGCAAAGACCGATAGTGTGAGTGAGGTGAAAGTGTTGAATGATGATGAAAGTATTTTCTTTTTGGGTGTATTTTCTCTCTTTTTGGGTCACCCTGTCTCGGTGGGAGATGGCCGACTTATTGAAAAAAAAAAATGGTGTTCACTTTGTTTACAGCCCTACCTGTGAACATTAAACAGTTATAGAGACATCACATATCCCTGTGTAAACCCACTTTTACTGGAAAATACTCCACACCCTTACCATTCGTCAGGCACATTAAGACCCTTAGGGATTTAGGGTGACTCAGTGAATATAACAACAGTGGTCAGCAATGATTTTGGTTCATGATAAATGTATTTCTAACTAATTTTGGGATGCTGAATTCAAATCTGGATTTAGTTTTTCTCCAGCATGTACAGTTTCTGTGAAATAGAATGCCACAGTGAATCATTTTAACCAAGACATTTCTATCATGGAGAAAAGATATCAAGAAAACCTGACAATCATTTTGGTGGCTGACTATTGCTTGACACTGGTGCAGGAAAGCATTCTGAACACAAACAAAAAAGCCGAACACTCCGATGTAAATACTAGGACATCTAGCTCTCTTTCACTCATAACATTAATAATTAGTTCTTTCTTAACATCCATACTACACCCAACTTCAAAATTTAGTTTTTGTTTTTGTTAATGTATTCAGAAAAAGGTTACCAGCCCCTTATAGTCACTTTTTTGATATGCATGGCTTATGGGGGGAAATTCTAACGTACGTTCCAATAATATGTTGGAGGACATTAGTATTTATTGTTAATAGATTGGTTAGCCTTTTTAATAAAAATTAACCTGAATAAGTTACTAGTGTGTAAGGTTGTGTATGCCATCTTATAGGATGGATCTCTAATATATTGCATCCTCTTATGTTTTATGTTCATTTCAGTTGCTATGTGAACTTCATTGCCAGGGTACAAGACAGGTGGAGCTCCTGCGTTATTTAACCCTGTTTATTGCTTGTAATTTACAGATAGTGACAGCACAAGCAGTGAGACGGATATAGAGGAGGAAGAAGGGAAGGGTGAAGATGGCACTAAGAAGAAGGATTCAGGTAATAATTAGATCAGGAAGCTTATAGAAAAGTTGCAGAATGAATTAGGATAAAGTATCATCTGACAATTAACTCACACTTTGGAGATGAATCTTTAGGCAACATTCCTGTCCATCTGGCAATTTATTTGTGAAATGTTCTGCCTGTCATCTTCCACCTAAGTAGGGTGAGCCAAAAAAGAAAACATATTCACCATCACTTTTTTAATTAATATATACATGCTAATTAAACAGAAGAGCTACAATAATGTAACAGTACCATAAATATGTGTAGAGGTAGACAGCAGCTGGAGTCTCAGAGAGAGAGGGAGGGAGGGGGTGGGGGGGATATAGCTCGAGCTTGTACTGTCCTGTGCCTCACACATACACTTACTGTACCTCATAAGCTGTGACAGCAGCTGCCACTGCTCACCCAGCATATCATAACATATGTACCAACAAATGGATAAATTAGACATATGTCCAGCATCTAGGACTCCTTATTCTGAAGAATGTCATGTTGTAGTAGTTGTTTCGATCAGTCCATCAACCTTGATAGGAGCATGAATACATATACCAGTGTTATGTGGCTACCAGCAGAGTTCTGGCTAATGTGTATAGATCAGTACTGTTGACTGTTGATTAAGACGATAGTTACATTCTTAAAAATGCCATTTAATAAAAAAATCATCTAAAGCAAACTGAACAACATGTATAAAAAATAGGGTTAAGTTCATTGGGTCCCCCCAAAAAATGGCAGACTCTTTTTTTTAAGGTCTCAATATTGTAAAAAAAAAATGGTAATGTAATTGTAATTGGTTGTCATGATGTATCATGTTTATTACAATTCTTAAGGCTACAAATGTTACATAAAAAATATGCCTAGTTCTATTGCTGACTTAATATGATAGCATAAACATATCAGGCATTTACATGCCTTTAAAAGTGAAAGAAAAGGGTAATTTGTTTTACTGCAATTTTCGCTTTATGGCGGTAGCCCTGGAACCTAACCCGCCGTGTAAGCGGGTTAGGTTCCAGGGTTCAGACTCCACCATAAAAGCATGAATGTATCATAATAGTCAATATGACTGAATTTCATTATAAGATGATTAATGTAATGACCTTTGTAAAATATTGCAAAATCTGCTAAGAACTTTCTCAGTTTTAGTATTTTTATTTCCAGTACAGTGGTACCTCGAATTTCAGCCTCAATTCGTTCCAGAAGGCTGTTCGAGTGCCGTTACCCAACAAAATTTTTCCCATGAGGAATAATGTGAATTAGATTAGTCCATTTTAGACCCCTAGAATACACTTACAAAAGCACTTGCAAAAATACACTTACATAATTGTTCGAGTTGGGAGCTGTTTGAAATTCAAGGTATCACTGTATTATTGTTTTTGTTTATTGTTTATATTTACCTAAGGTTTAGCAGATGTGAATTTATTATTTCACAGGTGACCAAATGTCTGTGTCGGGCAGTGGCTCTGGCTCAGCAAGATCGGGTACTCTGTCACCTACCCAAGCAGGGCGCTACCAAGACTCACCCACGTAAGTATCGTGTCATATTATAATTGCCAGTTTTAATACTTTGGAGAATATTGAGAGTTTCAAAAACTGTTCATCATATTCTTGTGAAAAATTTAATACTAAGTAGGATTTTCATGCCTCATTGGTCAGTGATAGCATATTCAGCTGACAATCAAAATGACCTAGGTTTGAATCTTTGGTGAGGCGAGGTGTAAGGGCATGTTTTCTTAAATCTGCTTTTCCTGTTCACCTAGTATTAAATAGTTACCTAGGAGTTAGCTGACTGTGGGTTAGATTCTTTGAGAGAGAACTAAAAAACTGTAATGGAAACCATTCACATTGCCTTACATTCTTGGATTATCCCATATTAATAACCCTCCTGTGTTAATACTGTACTATGAAGAAAGTCTTTTTCTAATGCAACCTCTCCTCACTAAGCGACGTATTTGTTTACCGACAACTCAGACTTATGACGGGCTCTCTGATCAGTATGCATACCTAAATAATGTATATTAGAGCTGAATTCCTCTAATTTGTTTATTACAATATACAGTACACTGCTGTATAAATATTTAAAAATATACCAGAAATGTTATAATGGTGCAAATGTGACATTAAAACAATATCAAAGATGGTTGACCCAAACCCACTACCATTATAGTATGCTTCTCACTTAGCGATGAATTTGTTTACCAATGTGGTCTTAGGAACGGAACTCCATTGTTAAGCGAGGAGAGGCTATACTTATAAAGAAGTAATATTAAATCATGATTATTTTTGAGCTTAATGTTTTCCTCAAAACTATTAATGAAAGATTTTCCAAAATGTTGTTGATACAGGCTGTACTTAACTTTTAGAAACATAAAGGTACTCTATAATAATTTTGAAATAGAATTGTATATTTTAAACTGTACATTAATATTGATATTGTGAGTTTGCCAATCTTATTTAGAGTATTCATAGAAGAAGAAATGGAATAGCAGATGAACAAGGAGGCTTTAGGAAAGGTAGGGGGTGTGTGGACCAGGTGTTTACAGTGAAACATATAAGTGAACAGTATTTAGATAAGGCTAAAGAGGTCTTTGTGGCATTTATGGATTTGGAAAAGGCGTATGACAGGGTGGATAGGGGGGCAATGTGGCAGATGGTGCAGGTGTATGGTGTAGGAGGTAGGTTACTGAAAGCAGTGAAGAGTTTTTACGAGGATAGTGAGGCTCAAGTTAGAGTATGTAGGAAAGAGGGAAATTATTTCCCAGTAAAAGTAGGCCTTAGACAAGGATGTGTGATGTCACCGTGGTTGTTTAATGTATTTATAGATGGGGTTGTAAGAGAAGTAAATGCGAGGGTCTTGGCAAGAGGCGTGGAGTTAAAAGATAAAGAATCACACATAAAGTGGGGGTTGTCACAGTTGCTCTTTGCTGATGACACTGTGCTCTTGGGAGATTCTGAAGAGAAGTTGCAGAGATTGGTGAATGAATTTGGTAGGGTGTGCAAAAGAAGAAAATTGAATGTGAATAAGTGAGTAAGGTTATGAGGATAACAAAAAGATTAGGTGATGAAAGATTGGATATCAGATTGGAGGGAGAGAGTATGGAGGAGGTGAATGTATTCAGATACTTGGGAGTGGACGTGTCAGCGGATGGGTCTATGAAAGATGAGGTGAATCATAGAATTGATGAGGGGAAAAGGGTGAGTGGTGCACTTAGGAGTCTGTGGAGACAAAGAATTTTGTCCTTGGAGGCAAAGAGGGGAATGTATGAGAGTATAGTTTTACCAATGCTCTTATATGGGTGTGAAGCATGGGTGATGAATGTTGCAGCGAGGAGAAGGCTGGAGGCAGTGGAGATGTCATGTCTGAGGGCAATGTGTGGTGTGAATATAATGCAGAGAATTCGTAGTTTGGAAGTTAGGAGGAGGTGCGGGATTACCAAAACTGTTGTCCAGAGGGCTGAGGAAGGGTTGTTGAGGTGGTTCGGACATGTAGAGAGAATGGAGCGAAACAGAATGACTTCAAGAGTGTATCAGTCTGTAGTGGAAGGAAGGCGGGGTAGGGGTCGGCCTAGGAAAGGTTGGAGGGAGGGGGTAAAGGAGGTTTTGTGTGCAAGGGGCTTGGACTTCCAGCAGGCATGCGTGAGCATGTTTAATAGGAGTGAATGGAGATAAATGGTTTTTAATACTTGACATGCTGTTGGAGTGTGAACAAAGTAACATTTATGAAGGGGTTCAGGGAAACCGGCAGGCCAGACTTGAGTCCTGGAGATGGGAAGTACAGTGCCTGCACTCTGAAGGAGGGGTGTTAATGTTGCAGTTTAAAAACTGTAGTGTAAAGCACCCTTCTGGCAAGACAGTGATGGAGTGAATGATGGTGAAAGTTTTTCTTTTTTGGGCCACCCTGCCTTGGTGGGAATTGGCCAGTGTGATAATAAATAAAAAAAGAAATGGAAATGCATACCAAGTCAAGAGCAGTCTTTGTTTAAAGGTGTTTTCCACGAAAGGACTTCATGGTAGAAGCATTACCAGTGCAACCCTTTCTGAGGTACCATCTACTTCCAGCTTGATATTTCTGTGTCTATAACATCAGCATTATGGTACCATTCAGCCAGCCTGGTAGTTACTGGTGCTTACTCAAATACAGTGGACCCCCGGTTAACGATATTTTTTCACTCCAGAAGTATGTTCAGGTGCCAGTACTGACTGAATTTGTGCCCATAAGGAATATTGTGAAGTAGATTAGTCCATTTCAGACCCCCAAACATACACGTACAAACGCACTTACATAAATACACTTACATAATTGGTCACATTGGGAGGTGATCGTTAAGCGGGGGTCCACTGTGTTTCTGTATGGTTATTCTGGCCTTACTGTGGGATATACTACATATAATAGACAGCAGGAGCAGTATGTGTATAGAAGATCAGGTTTAATACCCATAAATGTTGTCATATTGATATCCATCAATGTTACTCTAGTGTTATCTAATTTTCCATCTCTACCGTTCTGACTAAGAGTAAGTTGATGTGGGGGGTAACTTTGCTAATACTCTACTCTATTTGTTTATTGTGAATATTTGTACAGTATATACCAAGTTTATGAAGTGCAGCACTAATTTATACAGTACTGTTGTACAGTATATCAAGTTGTGGGAGATTTGTGTGATTTTGTGCAGTTTGCCACACCTTCATTAACCCTTTTACTGTTTCATGTAGATCTACATGTATGTCACTGATACCAGTGTAGCTCATGCAGATCTATGTCTTAATCATAGTGCCTTCAAAAATTTTGTTGTGATTGGTAAGTTTTGGCCTAGATATGAGAGAGTGGGTCTGTCTGGTGGTTGTGCACAGTATAAAAAAATATCCTGGTCCATGCAGTGCATGATGGGAAGAGTGAACCTCTGACCCCTGTACTTGAGTTAAAATAGCAACTTTGAGGGGTTTTCTAGGGTGGTTTTAATGATTTTTTGGGCTGTTTTCTTAGTGTCATTTGGTAGATCAGAATGCATACTAGAGGAATTGAAATAATTATGGTTTCAAAATGGAACTGGCTTGAAATAAGCCTCAAAGTAGTGGAAATATGTGTTTTTGGCAATTTTCATGGGGAGCAGTAGTCCTCCCCCAGTGTCTTTTATGAATTTTTACTGTCTGCTTCAATTATTTGGATGGCCTAAACCATGACTGATCAGTCTTGCTTTATTTTATTAGCTGAAAACAGGGTAAAATTTCAGTTTTTTGTGTGATGATGGATTCAAAATGAAAGGCAAGTCTTATAAGAAATGCCCAGGGACATAATTGGTGAATAAAGGAAAGGTTGCTTTAGTGGCTGGAATGCTTATAGTGTTTATTTAGGACTGTTTTTAAATTGGAATTTGTTGAATTTTGTGTAAAATTAGTAATTTATAGGAAAGTTCTCAGGCTGCTCTTCAACTCTATATACCTTTGGTTCGGCCTTATTTAGATTATGCTGTGCAGTTTTGGTCACTGTATTACAGAATGGATATAAATACACTGGAAAATGTACAAAGGAGGATGACAAAGTTGATCCCATGTATCAGAAATCTTCTCTGTGAGGATAGACAGAGGGCCCTGAATCTGCATTCTCTAGAAAGGTGTAGAATTAGGGGGGATATGATTGAGGTGTATAAATGGAAAACAGGAAATAATAAAGGGTGTAAATAGCGTGCTAAAAATATCTAGCATACACAGGACTTGCTGCAATGGTTTTAAATTGGAAAAATTCAGATTCAGGAAGGATATAGGAAAGCACTGGTTTGGTAATAGAGTTGTGGATGAGTGGAACAAACTCCCAAGTACCGTCATAGAAGCTAAGACGTTGTGTAGTCTTAAAAATAGGTTGGATAAATACATGAGTGGGTGCGGGTGGGTGTGAGTTGGACCTGACTAGCTTGTGCTACTAGGTTAGATGCCATGCTCCTTCCTTAAGTGAATGTGACCTGACCTGACTGAGTCAAGGCATTGGCTTAAGCCAGTGGGAGAATTGGATCTACCTCGCATGGGCCAGTGGGCCTGCTGCAGTGTTCCTTCTTTCTTCTAGTTGAATAAGAAAATTCCCTTTTGCTCAGTTGATAGAGCAAAAAGGCATACCAGTGAAATGCCCAAAATAGGCCTTAAAATAGGCAGAATTGCTGATGTGTAAATTGTATCCAGACTGCCAACATTGTGCCTGTGCAGTTTTGTACAGATTCCCTCAAATTTTACATGTGTTGTTACCTTCAGAAAACTATTCTCACCATTTCAGAAGAAAAGCATATTATTTTTTATTAAATAATGACACTGTCAGCACTTTTAATTTCAGGGTTAAATATGGCTTTTTATTGATTAAATGATTTTGCCAGTTAAACTGATCGATGAATAGATCAGTAGGTAAATGACCTAGAACATGGCATGGTAACGTCACCTTTTGAGAAATACATTTTTTGATTCATTGAATATTAAGGATTTGTTTTGTAACAAGGAACTTACAAGTCATTGCAGTGAATTGTGTATTTTGTTTACTTGTGACTTATTTATTGTAGTCTAGCCAACAAATTTTGTTACCTTTATCATTTTAGAGTGGAGGACCGACGATCAGACCGTGAGGAGGCCAATTACTTGCCAGACTCATCGCCTGAATCTCCAGTTGAACTCAAGGAAGATTTACCTGCCTACTATCCTGCCATCATGGGTTGCCGCTCAGTTGATGAGTTCGAGTGTCTCAATAGGTTTGTTAATTTTGCAGTATACTAATTTATGAAAGTTTTCATAGGATGTATCACCTTTGACCCCTCAGGTGATGCCAATGAGAGTTCCTGTTCCAAGGAATTGGACTGACCTTTCTTTTTTTGGTTGAACTTGTTTACTTTTCAGGTGCAGTATAACCCCTATGGGTTTAACGACCCCCACAAATGTAGTAATGTGTCTTTGAGCTCTTCTGGTTTTAGATAGTTTTAAACAGAATTATAAAGGAGTGAAGTAAGCCAGGTGTAAATTAATCATTCTTGTGTTGCATTATCCATGAATTAGTCTGGTAGTGATATTTTGTTTTAAAATGAAATAAGAAAATTTCTCTTGGCATGGGTCATTATTCGGTGGAGAATTTAGTCATTAGACAAACTGAAAACTAAGTTCTTCAACTGGCTTACCAGTCCACCTTGTAAAAATTAAATGTGTGTAACATTGTGAGATGCATTATGTAAATTTCTTCCATCAGGTAAAGAAGCTTTGATAACATTAGTCGTGGAATATATATTGTAGAGGAATGTAGCTACAAGACAAACTACAGAGAATTTATGAAGATTCTTGGTCATCAAGGGGTGGGTGCCATGAAGTCAATGAGGGGCTCATGATCTAAGTAGTTGGAGCTATCCTACCCTTCCTTGTATCCAACTTCATTGCCTCCCATTCCCCAGAAACTGTATACCCCTACAAGTTTAGTGCTGTCCCAAGAATATAATAATAATAATAATAATGGGATTTATCAGATTTTACCATTTATTTTATTTCCAGAATTGAGGAGGGAACTTATGGTGTGGTGTATAGAGCCAGGGAGAAGGCAACTAATACAATAGTTGCCTTGAAGAGACTCAAGATGGAGAAGGAGAAGGAAGGCTTCCCCATCACCTCATTGAGAGAAGTCAACACACTGCTGAAGGTTGTTCCCGACACTGGCTGGACATGTAATGTTTTGTCTACTCCATGTGTCTTAAGTTGAACTTTAATTAATGCTAATCAATCATTCTTTTAATCTTTGATAAAATCTGTAACTGAAAAGAATATCATGTTGAATAATACACAAATAACCCACATACAAGAGAGTGGTGCTTACGACAAGGTTTCGGTCCGACTTGGACCATTTACAAAGTCACACTTTGTAAATGACTTTGCAATTGTTCCAAGTCAGACTGACCCGATGTGTGGGTTATTTGTGTATTGTTCCAATCATGGTATTGTGCCTTTTTGTTCTTCATGTTGAATGTTAATCATCCTAAAATTTGAAATTGTCTTTTTTATTCTTTGTAAGGCGGGGTAGGGGTCATCCTCGAAAGGGTTGGAGAGAGGGGGTAAAGGAGGTTTTGTGGGTAAGGGGCTTGGACTTCCAGCAAGCGTGCGTGAGCGTGTTAGATAGGAGTGAATGGAGACGAATGGTACTTGGGACCTGACGATCTGTTGGAGTGTGAGCAGGGTAATATTTAGTGAAGGGATTCAGGGAAACCGGTTATTTTCATATAGTCGGACTTGAGTCCTGGAAATGGGAAGTACAATGCCTGCACTTTAAAGGAGGGGTTTGGGATATTGGCAGTTTGGAGGGGTATGTTGTGTATCTTTATATGTGTATGCTTCTAGACTGTTGTATTCTGAGCACCTCTGCAAAAACAGTGATAATGTGCGAGTGTGGTGAAAGTGTTGAATGATGATGAAAGTATTTTCTTTTTGGGGATTTTCTTTCTTTTTTGGGTCACCCTACCTCGGTGGGGGACGGCCGACTTGTTGAAAAAAAAAAAAAATAAATAAAAAAAATAAAGATTAGACCTAGGTAGTAGGTTGGTAGACAACAACTGACCAGGGAGGTACTACCATCTTGCCAAGTGAATGTAAAATGAAAGCCTGTAATTGTTTTACATGATGGTAGGATTGCTGGTGTTTTTTCTGTCTCATAAACATGCAAAATTTCAGGTATGTCTTGCTACTTCTACTTACACTTAGGTCACACTACACATACATGTACAAGCATATATATACACACACCCCTCTGGGTTTTCTGCTATTTTCTTTCTAGTTCTTGTTCTTGTTCATTTCCTCTTATCTCCATGGGAAAGTGGAACAGAATTCTTCCTCCGTAAGCAATGCGTGTTGTAAGAGGCGACTAAAATGCCGGGAGCAAGGGGCTAGTAACCCCTTCTCCTGTATTTATTATCACACCGGCCGATTCCCACCAAGGCAGGGTGGCCCGAAAAAGAAAAACTTTCACCATCATTCACTCCATCACTGTCTTGCCAGAAGGGTGCTTTACACTACAGTTTTTAAACTGCAACATTAACACCCCTCCTTCAGAGTGCAGGCACTGTACTTCCCATCTCCAGGACTCAAGTCCGGCCTGCCGGTTTCCCTGAATCCCTTCATAAATGTTACTTTGCTCACACCCAACAGCCGTCAAGTTTTAAAAAAAAACCATTTGTCTCCTTCACCCCTATAAACACGCTCCGCATGCCTCGGGGAAGTCCAAGCCCCTCCCCAACAAAACCCCCCCTTTTTCCCCCCTCCCCCCAAAACCCTTTCCCTAGGCCACCCCTACCCCGCCTTCCTTCCACTACAACGATAACTCTTAAAGCATTCTGTTTGCTCCATTCTTTACATGTCCAACCCCCTAACAACCCTTCCTCCCCTCTGGACAACATTTTTTGGTAACCCCCGCACCCCCCCTAACTTCCAAAAATACAAATTCTCTCATTAATTCAACCACACTTGCCCTAGACATGACTCTCCACTGCCCTCCAGCCTTCTCCCGCTCAAATTCATCACCCACGTTCACCCCCCTTTAAAGAGCGTTGGTAAAACTATATCTCATCTTTCCCCCTCTTTGCCTCCAAGGAAAAGTTCTTGTCTCCACAGATCCTAATGCACCACTCACTCGTTTTCCCCTCACTTTTCTTGATTCACCTCATCTTTTAGACCCATCCCTGAACTCCACTCCCAAAATCTGAATAAGTTCACCTCCTCCAACTCTCTCCCTCCAATTGATTTCAATCTTTTTCACCTAATCTTTTTGTTATCCTATACCTTACTCTTTCCTGTATTCACCTTTAATTTTTTCTTTTGCACACCCTACCAAAATTTATCCCCCAATTCTGCAACTTCTCTTCAAATCCCCAAAAGCACAGTGTCATCAGCAAAGAGCAGCTGTGACACTCCCACTTTGTGGTGATTTCTTTATCTTTTAAAATCCACCCTTTGCCCAAAACCCTCGATTTACTTCCTTTTCAACCCCATTTAAATTTATTAAACAAAACCCCGGGGACATCACACATCCTTGCTAAGGCCCCACTTTACGGGAAAAAAATTTTCCCCCTTTCCCACATACTCTAACTTGACTCCTAACCCGTTTAAAAAACCTTTTATGTTTCAGTAACCTACCTCCTACACCATACACTTGCAACATCTGCCACATTGCCCCCCTATCCACCCTGTCATATGCCTTTTCCAAATCCATAAATGCCACAAAGACCTCTTTAGCCTTATCTAAATACTGTTCACTTATATGTTTCACTGTAAACACCTGGTCCACACACCCCCTACCTTTCCTAAAGCCTCCTTGTTCATCTGCTATCCTATTCTCCGTCTTACTCTTAATTCTTTCAATTATAACTCTACCATACACTTTACCAGGTACACTCAACAGACTTCTTTCTTTCTTTCAACACACCAGCCGTATCCCACCGAGGCGGGGTGGCACAAAAGGAAAAACGAAAGTTTCTCCTTTTACATTTAGTAATATATACAGGAGAAGAGGTTACTAGCCCCTTGCTCCCGGCATTTTAGTCGCCTCTTACAACACGCATGGCTTACGGAGGACGAATTCTTGTTCCACTTCCCCATGGAGATAAGAGGAAATAAACAAGAATAAGAACTAGAAAGAAAATAGAAGAAAAACCCAGAGGGGTGTGCATATATGTGCTTGTACTTGTATGTGTAGTGTTGACCTAAGTGTAAGTAGAAGTAGCAAGACGTACTGAAATCTTGGCATGTTCATGAGACAGAAAAAAGGACACCAGCAATCCTACCTTTCATGTAAAACAATTACAGGCTTTCTTTTTTACACTCACTTGGCAGGACGGTATTTCCCTCCCTGGGGGTTGCTGTCTACCAACCTATACCTATAACTCAACAGACTTATCCCCCTAAAATTTTTTTGCACTCTCTTTTATCCCCTTTGCCTTTATACAAAGGAACTATGCATGCTCTCTGCCAATCCCTAGGTACCTTCCCTTCCATACATTTATTAAATAATTGCACCAACCACTCCAAAACTATTTTCCCCCCCGGGTTTTAACATTTCTATCTTTATCCATCAATCCCGGCTGCCTTACCCCCTTTCATTTTACCTACTGCTCACGAACTTTCCCCCACACTCACAACTGGCTCTTCCTCACTCCTACAAGATGTTATTCCCTATACACGAAATCACAGCTTCCCTATCTTCATCAACATTTAACAATTCCTCAAAATATTCCTTCCATCTTCCCATACCTCTAACTCTCCATTTAATTAACTCTCCTCTCCTATTTTTAACTGACAAATCCATTTGTTCTCTAGGCTTTCTTAACTTGTTAATCTCACTCCAAAACTTTTTCTTATTTTCAACAAATTTGTTGATAACATCTCACCCACTCTCTCATTTGCTCTCTTTTTACATTGCTTCACCACTCTCTTAACTTCTCTCTTTTTCTCCATATACTCTTCCTCCTTGCATCACTTATACTTTGTAAAAACTTTCATATGCTAACTTTTTCTCCCTTACTACTCTCTTTACATCATCATTCCACCAATAGCTCCTCTTCCCTCCTGCACCCACTTTCCTGTAACCACAAACTTCTGCTGAACACTCTAACACTACATTTTTAAACCTACCCCATACCTCTTCGACCCCATTGCCTATGCTCTCATTAGCCCATCTATCCTCCAATAGCTGTTTATATCTTACCCTAACTGCCTCCTCTTTTAGTTTATAAACCTTCACCTCTCTTCTTCCCTGATGCTTCTATTTCTCTTGTATCCCATCTACCTTTTACTCTCAGTGTAGCTACAACTAGAAAGTGATCTGATTATATCTGTGGCCCCTCTATAAACATGTACATCCTGAAGTCTACTCAACAGTCTTTTTATCTACCAATACATAATCCAACAAACTACTGTCATTTCGCCCTACATCATATCGTGTATACTTATTTATCCTCTTTTTCTTAAAATATGTATTACCTATAACTAAACCCCTTTCTATACAAAGTTCAATCAAAGGGCTCCCATTATCATTTACACCTGGCACCCCAAACTTACCTACCACACCCTCTCTAAAAGTTTCTCCTACTTTAGCATTCAAGTCCCCTACCACAATTACTCTCTCACTTGGTTCAAAGGCTCCTATACATTCACTTAACATCTCCCAAAATCTCTCTCTCCTGTATATATTACTAAATTTGAAAGGAGAAACTTTCGTTTTTCCTTTTGGGCCATCCCACCTCGGTGGAATAAGGCTGGTGTGTTGAAAGAAAGATAAACACAGTAGAAAGAAAGACAAACACAGTATAAAGCTTTATTGATAGAGTTTATATCAGATTTGCATCATGAATTTTTTGAAATGTTATGTAGAGAATAATTAAATATATCAACGTTTTCTTCCTTTATCAGGGACAACACGAAAATATAGTAACTGTCCGAGAAATTGTAGTTGGAAGTAACATGGACAAAATCTATATAGTTATGGATTATGTAGAGCATGATCTCAAGAGCCTCATGGAGACTATGCGACAAAAGAAGCAGATGTTTACCATCGGTGAAGTGAAGACTCTAATGAGACAACTACTGAGAGCTGTACATCACCTCCATGACAACTGGATACTTCACAGAGATCTGAAAACTTCTAATTTGCTCCTCTCTCATAGAGGAATTTTAAAGGTAAAGGTCATGGATACATTTTTATATTAACATCAGAATCCACATAACTGCTCTATTTTGCAATGTCAGTATCCTGACATATTTGCTTTGTTTAGTCTCCTCTATGAAGATCCCACTTTTGGTGAAGACTCTATTTGTGGTTTATTAAATGTCACTGAATTGCTACATCTACTGTGTCCTCATTTTCCTAACTTTCTGCAAATTGACATGAAAAACATGTATCACTTGGTTTTAAATTATGATTTTAATTCATGTCTTCAACAAACGCGTATCCAGAGACTAGGTGGCTAAAAGAAAAGAAAGTTTACTCATTTAATTAGTAACTTTGTAACAGGAGAAGGTGTACTAGCCCCTTGCTCCCAGCAATTTGTCGCTACTTCACACGCATGGCTTACGAGAAAATTCTGATTTCCACTTCCCATGAGGAATAAAGGAAATCAGAACATTTGTAAAAAATAGAAGACAAACCCATAAGGGTGCTACATTATATGCCTGTACATTTGTTAGTTTGATCCTAAGTGTAAGATAAGTTTTGCTAGACGTACCTGAAATTTGCATGTTTATTGAAATGCAAATTGACTACATCAATCTTCCATCATGTTAACCAATACAGCTTTCGTTTTACACATCATTGCAGACGTTGTACTCACTGGCGTTGCTGTTTAACAACTATTACTGATTAAAATATTCTTCTTCTTCTTTCAACACAACCAGCCGTATCCCACCAAGGCGGGGTGGCCCAAAAGAAAAAAAAAGTTTCTCTTTTAAATTTAGTAATTTAGTACAGGAGAAGGGGTTACTAGCCCCTTGCTCCTGCATTTTAGTCGCCTCTTACAACACGCATGCTTACGGAGGAAGAATTCTGTTCCACTTCCCCATGGAGATAAGAGGAAATAAACAAGAACAAGATAGAAGAAACTAGAAGAAAACCCAGAGGGTGTCGTATACATATATGCTTGTACATGTATGTGTAGTGTGACCTAAGTGTAAGCAGAAGTAGCAAGACGTACCTGAAACCTTGCATATTTATGAGACAGAAAAAACACCAGCAATCCTACCATCGTGTAAAACAATTACAGGCTTACGTTTTACACTCACTTGGCAGGACGGTAGTACCTCCCTGGGCGGTTGCTGTTTACAACCTACTACCTAGGATTAAAATATATATATACGTATATTTAGGTAGTAGGTTGGTAGACAGCAACTGCCCAGGGAGGTACTACCGTCCTTCCAAGTGAGTGTAAAACGGAAACCTGTAATTATTTTACATGATTGTAGGATTGCTGGTATCTTTTTTGTCTCATAAACATGCAAGATTTCAGGTACATCTTGCTACTTCTACTTACACTTAGGTCACACTACACATACATGTAGAAGCATATATATATACATACATACCCCTCTGGGTTTTCTTCTATTTTCTTTCTAGTTCTTGTTCTTGTTTACTTCCTCTTATCTCCATGGGGAAGTGGAACAGAATTCTTCCTCTGTAAGCCATGCGTGTCGTGGGAGGCGACTAAAATGCCGGAAGCAAGGGGCTAGTAACCCCTTCTCCTGTATATATTACTAAATGTAAAAGGAGAAGCTTTCGTTTTTCCTTTTGGGCCACCCTGCTTCGGTGGGATACGGCCGGTGTGTTGAAAGAAAGATATACATATATATATTGTCTACTCTCTCTCTCAGCCTTGGTGTCCAGTGTTGAATGACCCACACAGGGTAACACTTTTCAAGAATATAATAGTAGTAATCTTTTCTTCTCCTGCCTTTACTCTGGGAGAGAGGACAAAGTGGGAGTTAAACATATAAGAAAAATGACATTAGAATTATGGAAATTATAAGATTTTTTTCACTGCATTTTTTCAGACTACATACTATGGGCAGATGAAAGTTCCTTCCATGTAGTCTGCTTGACAAGACTTGAAACTTGCTTCACTTTTGGTAAAAATTAGTGAATCACTAGGAAAATGTCCTATGTGGGTATTCTTTAACAACCACCCCTTTGATGCCTTCATATACCTTTGATGAGTTTTAAGAATCTTTCTATTCCCAAAGCTTGGCCATGGGCCAAGCTTGTCTGGTACTAGCTGGTCAACCAGGCTGTTCCTGCTGGTGTCCCACAGCCCCACATATCCATCACAGCCTGGTTGATCTGGCACCTGGTGAAAATACTTATCCAGTTTCCTCTTGAAGACTTCTACACTTGTTCCAGCAGTATTTCTGGTAAGTTGTTGAATAATCTGGGGCAATGGATGTTGATACAGTGTTTCCTCCTTGTTATGCTCACCACACCTCTGCTTTATACTGGATTTACTTTGCACTTTCTCCCACATCTCTCGCTCCAGTATGTTGTCAAGGCAGTGTGCAGATTTGGGACCAGACCCTCGAGTACTTTCCAGGTACAGGTTGGCCATCACTAATCCAGTGTCATTGGGACCTGTAGTCTGCCGGATTACAGAGTGGTTAAGTTAGAATACACTTAATTAATCTATCAATAGCGAAACTTTCTGCTACATCTTCCTCATTTTCATCACTACTTTCTCCTCCACTGGTTTACTGTTGTGGATTTACAACCATCTGCACAATTTCTGAGTCAGTATAATGATGAAATTTGAGTCGGTATAATGATGAAATTTGAGTCGGTATAATGATGAAATTTGAAATTATGTTTGCCGAAATTAGTGCCGGATTACTGATGGAACCGGATAACTGATTGCTGGATTAGTGATGGTTGACCTGTATATATTATCATGTATCTCTCTCTCCTCTGCTCTAGTGAGTACATATTTAATAATTTAAGGCAGTCCCAGTAATTTAAATGCTTTACTGGCTCTGTGTGGGCCATAAATGATCTCTGTATTTATTCCAGCTTTGATATTGAGTGAGTGAGAGAGAGAATATAATAATGTACAGCATATTTTATTATTTAATGTTGGTAATGTCATATTGTGTGTAATTTATCAATTAAACTTTATCACAGGTATGTATGTAAATGAAAAATGCAGTTTTGGGCATCCGTAGCAGGCCTTGGGCTGTATCACCCATGGATACAGGGGAACTTCTGTACTGTATGTACAGTATTCTGACTGCTAACTTATTTTTCACACACCATACCTTTTTTCTTTCTTTGGCAGGTGGGAGACTTCGGCTTGGCCAGAGAGTATGGTTCACCCCTCAAGCATTACACTCCTATTGTAGTGACCCTTTGGTACCGTGCCCCTGAGCTGCTCCTTGGGGCTAAACAGTACTCAACACACATCGATGTTTGGTCTGTTGGATGCATCTTTGGTGAGCTGCTGGGAATGGAGCCCATGTTTCCAGGAAAGTCGGAAATTGATCAGCTTAATAAGATATTTAAGGTGAGATTTACTTTTGAGTGAATTGCATGATACCCTGGAGAAAAATTCTGCATGAAAAGCAATGTCATGATATAGAGGTCTTACTAGTAGGTAATCTGCAGTGTGCATGAGTAATAAAATTTCAGTCAGTATGGAAATCTAGTTATTACAGTCTCTCTCAATAGTATCTAAAGATAAATATCGTTTTAACATTTAAAAATCTTAAGACTTCTTTTTCAACCCATTTAGTTAATAAGGAAGTAGGAGTGTTTTGATAAAAAAAAGAAATCATCCTACCTAGATAGGATGATCTACAAAAACTGAAACATTCAACATCATTTATTCAGTAGCTGCCTTGCCAGAAGTGAGGAGATATTACAATTATAATAATGCTCAGAACTGTAATGTGCCAACCCTTCCTTCAGTGTGTGAAAGGGACTGTACTGACCACCTCCAGGACTTAAGTCCAGATAACCAGTTTCTCAGAATTCATAAATGTTACACTGCTCCTACTCCAAAATCATATCAAGTCACTAAAAACTATTTTTTTCTTCTCTGATCTAACATGCTCACACTAACCTGCTAGATACATAAACCCCCTACAACTCAAAAGCTCCATTATCTCTTCTCTCCAATCTTTCCTGGAACAACTTGTACTTCCCTTCCTTCCACCTCAGATTTCTACACCTCTTGGTCGTCCGATTCTGCTACATTCTTTAAATGCTCAAGCCATTTCAATTACCCCTCCTCCACCCTCTGAATTATACTTTTTGTAGCACCACACCATCTTCTAATTTCTATGCTTTGAATTCTCTGTATAATATTAATGCCACACACTGCCTCTAGCTGCCTACTCTTCCTTGCTGCAATGTTTGAAGTTTCTGCCTCACACCCATAAAAAAGTGTTGGTATTTCTCTACTATGATGCATTCCCTATTCTTTTGTTGATAAGCTTCTTTCTTTTCACAGATGCCTCAACTCTACCAACCGTTTTTTCTGTTTGGTTCAAGTGAGAGCTCCTTGATTCTGTTGGATTGTATTTTTGAATGAGGGTGGAAGTGTTTCTTTCTTTTTTAGGTCACCCTGCCTTGGTGGGAGACAGCCGCTGTCATGTTGAAAAAAAAAATATATTGTATTTCTTTACTTCAGGATCTTGGAACACCTGGTGAAAAGATCTGGCCTGGGTACAACCAGTTACCCCTTGTAAAAAAGACACAATTTGCTGATTACCCATACAACCATCTACGTGAGAGGTTCAAGACAAGGCTGTCTGATCAAGGATTTAGCCTTCTTAACAGGTATTAATTATATTAAAGAAAACAAGATATGAATCCATGGACAGAATGAGTGAATATATGGATGAGTGATGATTATGGAGGACTACTGTGCATGGTACTTAATTTTATTATGGTGTTATATATTGGCATGTAGGAGATTGTGTAGACTGTTAGTTATCGGGATGGCATTTGCTGGATAATGATAGATCTTTATAAAATGATTATGAATGATAGTGTGGTCAAGTAATCCAGCACAGATGTGCATGTAAGGACCAGTGAGTATGGTGGAGACTTCCTGTAAGCTGCCCTACTGAATAATGAAAGACTGATTATTGCATAATGAAAAAATGAATAGATGTTTCAAAATATGTAGCTCTGGGTAGGTGAAAATATGAGTACGTAACACATGGTGTAGGCTGCCAGAGACGGCTGTGATTGATATTAGCAGATGTCACACTTGCAGTAGTAATAAACAGAATTGTCAGTGATTTCACATGCATATGATCACGAGAAGGAATACAAATAACCTGCACCTAACTTATGATGGTGAAAGGTTTTCTTTTTTGGGCCACCCTGTCTGGGTTAGAAATGGCCAATGTGTTAACCCATAAGCTGTCCAAACGTAGATCTATCTTCACTCGCGTAGCGCTCCAAACGTAGATCTATGTTTTATTTTACATGCTTTGAAATGTAAAAAAAAACGTAGATCTACTTTCGAAGCTCTACGCGAATGAACGTAGATCTACGTTTGGACAGTTTAAGGGTTAATGAAATAAAATAAAAAATAAATATTTGGTCCAATACATTATTTGTTTGTTTGAAATTTACTGCTGCTAGTTCTTGTTACTGTAGTTTAGTTATTTATTTTGCTTTTCAGGTTTTTAACTTACAATCCTCCAAAACGCATCACATGCCAAGAAGCAGTACATCATGATTATTTTCACAAAGAAGCGCCAGCACCTGTGGATCCAGCTATGTTCCCTACATGGCCAGCTAAGTCTGAAAATCCTCATGGTCGTTCAAAGAAAATTGGCCTCAGTCCCAAGCCCCCATCTGGTGGCAAGAACTTCAAAGATCTGGTAATTAAATTTACTTTTTGTATTAAGCCAAATAATGTACATGAGCTTTGATAATTTTGTTTTAACATTGCCTGTGTCCCACCAAGGTAGGGTGACTCAGAGAAGGAAACATTTACTATTACCCATTCATTTGTGCTTCTCATTCATGTTAGTGGAGGGCTCTTGATCCAAGGAATGGAACATGTCCTTCCCTTGGGTCAAACCTGAATGTCTCCCATTCACCTAAGTGTTGTATAACTCTTCCAGGTTTAGCACTCCCACATGAGTATAATAATAATAATTACAGTGGTACCCTGAGTTTTGGCCATCTCCCAACTCGAATAATTATGTAAGTGTATTATTGTAAGTGCTTTTGTAAGTGTATTTTGGGGGGTCTGAAATGGACTAATCTAATTTACATTATTCCTTATGGAAACAAATCCGTTCAGTAACAGCACTTGCACTGCCTTCTGGAATGAATTATGGCTGAAACTTGGGGTTCCACTGTATTACTCATTTGTGATTGCCTTTCTTTGTAGCTATAGGAACATAACTGTGCTCGCAGTGTTATCTACAATATTTAATGTGCTGTATCGTATAATTATGTAAAGAATTTCCAGTGGTTGTAGCATATGTTAACTTCTCTGATGTGAAGTCAGTTTTAACCCTTAAATGGTCCAAATTTATATACGTATACGTTTTTTCAACATCTGAAAGTATGTAAAAAAATGTAGATCTTCTTTTTTGTTTTAAATTTGAAAACAAAAAGATTAGGTGATGAAAGATTGGATATCAGATTGGAGGGAGAGAGTATGGAGGAGGTGAATGTATTCAGATATTTGGGAGTGGACGTGTCAGCGGATGGGTCTATGAAAGATGAGGTGAATCATAGAATTGAAGAGGGAAAAAAGAGTGAGTGGTGCACTTAGGAGTCTGTGGAGACAAAGAACTTTGTCCTTGGAGGCAAAGAGGGGAATGTATGAGAGTATAGTTTTACCAACGCTCTTATATGGGTGTGAAGCATGGGTGATGAATGTTGCAGCGAGGAGAAGGCTGGAGGCATTGGAGATGTCATGTCTGAGGGCAATGTGTGGTGTGAATATAATGCAGAGAATTCGTAGTTTGGAAGTTAGGAGGAGGTGCAGGATTACCAAAACTGTTCTCCAGAGGGCTGAGGAAGGGTTGTTGAGGTGGTTCGGACATGTAGAGAAAATGGAGTGAAACAGAATGACTTCAAGAGTGTATCAGTCTGTAGTGGAAGGAAGGCGGGGTAGGGGTCGACCTAGGAAAGGTTGGAGGGAGGGGGTAAAGGAGGTTTTGTGTGCGAGGGGCTTGGACTTCCAGCAGGCATGCATGAGCGTGTTTGATAGGAGTGAATGGAGACAAATGGTTTTTAATACTTGACGTGCTGTTGGAGTGTGAGCAAAGTAACATTTATGAAGGGGTTCAGGGAAACCGGCAGGCCGGACTTGAGTCCTGGAGATGGGAAGTACAGTGCCTGCACTCTGAAGGAGGGGTGTTAATGTTGCAGTTTAAAAACTGTAGTGTAAAGCACCCTTCTGGCAAGACAGTGATGGAGTGAATGATGGTGAAAGTTTTTCTTTTTCGGGCCACCCTGCCTTGGTGGGAATCGGCCAGTGTGATAATAAAAATAATAAAAAAAAAATTGAAAACGTGTAAAAAAAACTTTTTTGTACATTTTTTTTTGTTTTGTTATATTTGAAAAAATGTAAAAAAAAGTAGATCTACTTTTGTAGCACTACGAATTTGAACGTCAATCTCTGGACCGTTTAAGGGTTAAGAGTACTGTGAACTTGAACTTTTCCATTTGTAATGGTTTTACTACGAATGATTTAAAATTGAAGATAGTGCTTGGTTCTGACCTGAAAGGATCTGGATCTCATTCCCAGACTGGGTGAGACCTATAGACAAGTCTCCTTTCACCTGCTGCCCCTGTTTGCTTAGTAGTATATAAGTATCTGGATGCTAACTGCTGAAGGTCACATTCTGGGGGATTGTAGTATACCTTAGACAGGGCTGGGCTTTGAAATGAGCTGTAAATCGAACTGTGTAAAAAAATAGAATTACACAATATACATCAATTTATTCTCTTTCAGGCTGATGTGGATGATGAGTTGGCTGCCCGAGGATTCTTTTTAGGTGGAGCCAGTTCGTGTGGACCCGGCTTTGTACTAAAGATGTGATGAGTAATTTTCTAATAAGTTGTGTTACTAGATTAACCTGAATTTATATTCAAATAAAATTAAAAAAATTACTTCTACATATTAAGCCTGATCAGTAAGTTGGCTTTATCTCCAAGAGTTGGGAAAGAATTTTGTAAAAATAATGAAACTGGTTTTACATTTAAAATGAATCAAACCTTTTATATTTTAAAAGAGAGATGTAGTTTTTTGTGGAGATTGTGTATGTGTGTGTATGTGTGTGTGTGTGTGTGTGTGTGTGTGTGTGTGTGTGTGTGTGTGTGTGTGTGTGTGTGTGTGTGTGTGTGTGTGTGTGTCAGTACATTTATCCTGCCATTTTTATCTTCATTAAGGTAAAATAATGACTTGTTGAAAAGGAGCATTTATTGAACAATGTCTCATGTGAGTACCTAGATGCTAGTAAAGAGCTCGTTCTAATTAATTGGAACTACCCTCCTGACCCTTTGATTAAACACAATTACTTCACACTTCCCAGATACTGTATGACCCCTACTTGTTTAGTGCTTCCCCATCTGTAAACTGATACTATTGAAGAATGGCTCTCATTAGAGTGTAAGCTTACACTTGAGCATAGTTTGTCTCCTGTGACATTAACGTTGCAGAGTTGAACAGCTTGTTTCACTTTGTTAAAAACAAAAAAAATTCTGCCTGAAAGTAGAGGTTCATACTTGAAATAACATGAGAAGATTGACAGTCTTGAGGACTGTGCAAGGATATGTTGTAATGAGGGTGATCTGCTTTGGTATAGAATTAGCATTGAACTGAGGCATAACTCATGTTCGTATGTTAAATCATCTTATTTGTTAGTACTGAGTGTGAATCATAGGTAAACTAATTCATTAGTACTGATTCTTGGCTCATTATTTGTTGAAGGACACCCCTGCTCCAGTGCCACTTAGTCTGTTCAGGATTTAAACTAAAACCTTTGTCTTGAATAGGTAAAATTGTTGTGGTTGATGTATTGAATAGTAAGCAGTAGAAATGAAAGTGCATTTAATTTTCTTAAACTTGTAAATTAGTTTTGAAAATGTATAATTGTTGCAAAGTTAGGTGACATTTTTTTCATACATTTTGAAAAGCCCCTTGTTATACAAAGCAAAACTTTGATATATTTTATTCTTTTGTAAATTTGTAAAGTCTCAAACACTTAGAAATATAGTTAAGTTAGCAAAGCAAGCTTATTCCATATAAAAAAGAAGTTATCATATTTAGGAACTAAATGAGTAATGAAAAAATGAGAGGAAAATCAATTCTTTCTTTCTTTCAACAAACTGGCCATATCCCACCAAGCAGGGTGGCCCGAAAAGAAAAACAAAAGTTTCTCTTTTTAACTAGTAATGTATACAGAAGGGGTTACTAGCCACATGCTCCCGGCATTTTGGTCGCCTCTTACGACACGCATGGCTTATGGAGGAAGAATTCTGTTCCACTTTCCCCGTGGAGATAAGAGGATATAAACAAGAACAAGAACTAGTAAGAAAATAAAGGAAAACCCAGAGGGGTGTGTATATATATGCTTGTACATGCATGTGTAGTGTGACCTAAGTGTAAGAAGCAGTAGCAAGACGTACCTGAAATCTTGCATGTTTCTTTCTTTCAACACACCAGCCGTATCCCACTGAGGCAGGGTGGCCCAAAAGGAAAAATGAAAGTTTCTCCTTTTAAATTTAGTAATATATACAGGAGAAGGGGTTACTAGCCCCTTGCTCCTGGCATTTTAGCTGCCTCTTACGACACGCATGGCTTATGGAGGAAAAATTCTGCTCCACTTCCCCATGGAGATAAGAGGAAATAAACAAGAATAAGAACTAGAAAGAAAATAGAAGAAAACCCAGAGGGGTGTGTATATATATGCTTGTACATGTATGTGTAGTGTGACCTAAGTGTAAGTAGAAGTAGCAAGACATACCTGAAATCTTGCATGTTCATGAGACAGAATAAAGGACACCAGCAATCCTACCATGTAAAACAATTACAGGCTTTCATTTTACACTCACTTGGCAGAACGGTAGTACCTCCCTGGGTGGTTGCTGTCTACCAGCCTACTACCTACAGGAATATCAATTAGTTTATTGATAAAAAAAAATTTGGAAACAAGACATAAATTGATTAATATAAACAAAGTATTAAAAAAGTGTGTTGAATTCAGGTCCTACATTGATCTACAGAACTGTGTATTAATTTCTCCAGCAATCATGTTAGTTACCAATTTTATGTTGGTTGTAAAGCCATTACAATATTCTGAAAATCTGTGATTCACAGGTCACTAAATTGAACTTAGAAGTTATGCGCATTTTGTAATCACACATTCTTTGTCTGGATTTAAAATGTCTAAAAATTACATGAGACATTACCAGTGTCAAACATCAAAGATGACTTTTTGATATATTTTTGTACAGTATATTATTGGAAGCACAGTGAAACGTTGGTGTAATGAGTAATAGATGGAGACAGGGGTGTCTACTACAATGTAAATCTGTTACAGTAAAGTACCCTGTGTAGACTAGATCTGCTCATAAGCAGATTCCTCATGCAGCAGACCTAGTCCACTGCATGGATGACTCTATCAGACACTTAAAAATAAACTGTATTACAGTACAGCACAGTAAATTACCTAAGGGTTAAAAGTAGAGTACAGTAGAGCATAGTAATTTTTCTTCTTGTGGTGAATAGACAAACTTAATGCCAGAATAACTTTTATTTTGAGTCAGAGGAGCTGTATAAGCTACAGCTCAAATGTTAATAGATTAACAAAAAAACATAAATCCAGGGAAATTTGAACATTAAATGATTGTATGTGTGAGTACGTACAGACACTAACAAGCTGGAGCAGGCTGAGTCATTGGCCTGGTTTGCCTAAGAACAATGAAAACAGAAGGGGCTGCTATGGCCCTTGTTGGACAAAAGTCCTATGCCATGTGAATAAATGCATTGACAGAACAGACATAGTCTGCTGTATCAATGACAGTACCTCCTCCTCCTGAGCTATTGTCTTGCCAAATTTTTTGTCTTTTTTTCTGAATCCCATTGCATAGGGGTCTGCTCTACTGAATATTTTGCATACTGTATACATAAATGTATATTACTGTATATATGAAATTGACTGATATAGTGTATGAAGTGCAATTTGGTCCTGTTTTATTGTAAATTTGTCATGTTTTAAATCAAAGACCTTGTGTATATATTTACATTTTTTGAATGAACCGGTTGGATCCCACCAAGGTGCGGTGGCCCAAAAAAGAAACACTTTCACCATCATTGGTGGGAGATGGCTGGCTTGTAAAAAAAAAAAAAATAGAAATAATTTGCTTAAAATATGTATTCTGAAGAAATTACATATTAAGCACCGTGCTTTAAGTAATATGTGAAAGGAATGGTCAGCATTTTCCTTGAATTTAATGTTATGTAGTTCTTTACATGATAGACATGTAATAGATTAAGGTAAGAGTGAAGGATGGTGATATATGCTCAAGATTGTTTGTACCAGTTCTTCAGTATTCTAGCAAAGTGTGAACCTTTGAAACAAGTTTCAGAAATGTATAATCTTCGTGTTGTAAGGTACAACATAACTAGTTCCTTAATTAAATTGTGTATGCTATTTTAAAGCCTATTTATTTGTGTTCCTTCAGCATAATATTTATTTTTTCCTTCAGATTACTTCAAAATAAAACATATGGTAAGTTAAATATAGTTTTTATTGTTTTTAATGAAAGGAGAATATTGTAAGCCATACGTGTCATAAGAGGCAACTAAAATGCCAGGAGCAAGGGGCTAGTAACCCCTTCTCATGTATACTAAATTTATATAGAGAAACTTTTCTTTTTCTTTTTGGGCCACCCTGCTTCGGTGGGATACGGCCAGTGCGTTGAGAGAGGAAGAAGACTTAGAAAAATATTCCTTTCATATGCCTTCACTTAGGCGTCATTCACTCTAAAGTGGTGTGTTGCATGAGAATGGGAGTGTTGCTGTTATGTATTTTAATGCATCAACATGAGGACAACTTGTACACATTGTAAGGTGTTTGTTTTGTGGGAAAAAGCTTCACAAACTCATTATGCAAAATGAATGCACATGGACTGCATTCATCTGACCACCCACCACCCATTCACTCTTGTTTGTTTACATTCTCCGCATCTCTCGTGTTCTCTTGTTTAGAATGGCATCTAAGGGTAGTTGTGATAAAAAGACGAGTCATAAGCCTCTTTAAATGCCAAATTAGAAATGATTAAACTCGGTGAACAAGGTATGTTGATAGCAATAAGCATAATATTAATAATATAATAATAATAAAAATGATATTGTAGGCATTTTCATTAATCCATCTTTAAACTCCATGAACAAAGTATGTATGTTGATGGCAATAAGCATAATACAGTGATGCCTCTCATATCCAAACTATATGGGCCGAGACCGGTTCAGAAACATGAAATTTCCAGATACGTGAGGGGAAAAAAGCCCATCTATACTGTCATATGGCGATGGCTTTGTAGGTTTAAAAAACCAGTCCTGTGTTGTCTGGTGGTGGGACCAGACATTCTGGGCTTGAATAACAACCTCCAGATTTCTGCAGCCATTTTAAGTTTGGCGCCAAGAACCATCATACCACTACCATGTTGTTGTAGGTACCACCTCATTGCGCACTGATTGAGTTCCATGCTCTGTCGCTTTGCCATCACTTTTCTTTCAGCACTTTTTCCAGTTTTTGAGACGGCAGAAAACATCTTAACGGCTGTTCGGATGTTTCGGTAATAATTGTAGAATTTTGCCCTTTCCCAGGGCCTGTTTGGATATTGGCGAGGTTCAGATAATGGCAGGTCGGATGTGCGAGGTATCACTGTAATAATAATAGTAATAATCTCTCTGAGGCGCTTTAAATTTTTTTTTTTTTTTCAAAATCACATAAGAAATACGCTATATCATATAAAGAAAATACATACAATCATAGTAAAATAAGATAGTTATGCAGGAAGCATCATAAGAATAGTAAAATAAACATAATTGTGAGGTGTGGTAGCTGGGCGGGCTGTCACACTTGACTTCCTACAATAACTACTACTACCTCTTGCCCTACATTAAGACTTCAAATATTTTCAAGTAATGAGTATACTGTATGTGTATTTTACTTTTTTATTGTTTTTTATGCCTGCTTCTATGGCTAACTTAATACAAGATAGTGTAAATATGTTATCAGACATTTATATGCATTTAAAAGTGAAAAAAGTTATTTTTTGACGATTTTTTGCTTTATGGTGGTAACCTGGAACCTAACCTGTCTTGTAAGTGGGACCTTACTGTATATGGTGGTGGTGTCCATAGAGATGCATTGTTACAGAATGTGATATGATAATATGCTGGGAATCCCTTTGAGAGTGGTGATTTGATACTGGTGAAAGTCTCTTAATCCAAGGAACTGGATCTATCCTCTTCACTGAATAAAACCTGATTACCTTTTATTCTGCAGGTGTTGTATGGATCTTATTGGAGACTTGCCTTGCAAGTGTTAACAAAATTACACAGTAAAGATTACTGGTACATATAGACAGAATATGTGTTGCATGCATCAGCTATAGTATGTTCCTTATAGTGGTTGTAATTTGTAAGTACAGCTTATGTTCTTCCTTTAGTACTGCCTTTGCTTCCATCACTTTCACTTCTTTATGAAATGCTGCACGAGTCTTTCAGGTTTAGTGTACTTCATGAATATTATAAATTTTTATTTTTAAAGGAGAATTAAAATAAGTCAAATTCCTTCTTGCTGTATTTATTTTGTAGTTTTCAAAAACAACAAAATGAAAAATTAGGAAATTATGCAAAAATCATTTGCTCGCAGATATTGACTAGATATTGTTCCCTTTTTCATATAGTCTGCAAATTATTCATTTAATAATTACATTGTATGAGCTCTCATAGAATGACTTAATTTTTCCTTTCATAGAACTGAACAACTCTGGCAGTGTCTTGATAGTTCAGGGTATTGTAAAGTCTGAGACACCAAATTATATTAGTTGTCCTAATCCATTTTCAGGTTATGAATGCTTGAAAGGTTTGCTTTTTTATCTTGATTGGTGTGTACCGTATATTGGCACCGTGTGTTATTTATTTAGTTTATACTTTAGACCTTTATTATAAACCCTCGTACCTTGAAGGGAGGTCCTTGGATGTTCATGAGGGAGCTCTTGATTCAAGGAATTGGAGCTCCTGTCATTTTCCTCATGTTGAACTAACTTGCCTCTTATTCCTGACACAGCCCTAACGGTTTAGCATTGCCCCATAATTATATATAATAATAATTCTAAGCACTCAGGGGTACTGGCTAACTTGTAGGTGTAACAGTAGTACACTTAATAATTTGCTTTGTTACAGCAATTAACTTAGTGTACGTGAAGCTCTTTGAGTAATCTGAAATAGATAGGCCTACTATATTTTCAGTAATAATACTGATAGAAGGGATTCCTCAAGAGCTTCTAATGTTGACCAATAGTTAATACATCATATCTCCTGATGACTGTCAGACAGTCGCTATGCTTGCTTTCATGTTAACTTAAGTGATTTATACCACAAAATGGAAGTCATAGTTAATTTTTAAAACTGAGGTAGAGAAGATGAGCTGGCAGATATAGAACACAAGAAAGTAAATAATAATGATGTACATAATGTTTAGAAATTTGTCACATCCCTCAACCCTCAGTACTCGTGATAGTAATTATCATAATTATTTTACAGTTCAGGCTATTAGAATAATCTTTGGTGTTCTTATTTTAGTACCAAGATTATCTCTATTTTTACATGTATTCCATTATTATTATTATTCACAGGAAAGCATTAAACCCAACTGGGTCATATAGTGCCAGGTGTGTGCGCTATTCACGAGATGTAATATTGTACATTATATAATTTTAATTCTCATAATTCCTTCAAGGGAGATTCCATGATGCTCGTGAGGAGGTCTTGATCCAGGGAATTTGATCAAGCTCCCCTTCCTTGGGTTGAACTTGATTGCCTCCCAGTCCCCACGCTATGTGACCCCCTATGGGTTTAGAACTCCACCTTAATTATAAAAATAATTCTCGTATCCCTTCAAGGAGGGCTTCTGATTCAAGGCATTGAAGTTATCCAATCCCTCCTTGGATCATACCTGATTGCAACCTGTTTCTTAGGAACTGTATGACCTTTAAGGGTTTAGTGCTTCACCATAAATTTCATAGTAATATTTATATTAATATGACTTTTTTGTGGGTGAATTGATTAAACTATATTACTTGTTAGGTAGTAAAATACTGTAATGTCAGGTTAGGCCAGAGATTTGATATTTGTATTAAAATTACAGTATAGACTATAATTACCTTATGTATGTTTGAAAAGTGTTGTAAGTATTTTTTATAAAAAAAAATATTTATTAAATATTTGATGTTGGCAGCTTTATGTTAAATACACAGATTTTTGTGTGAACAGGTCAGGTCAGTAGGCTTAGTCTCATAGAGGAAAACTAGCAGCCTGATGCACCAGTTATTTCACTGTATCTGTAAAGGTGATCTTTAATCTGTCAGTCTGTGATGTTTACTGTGGTCAGTTTGTACAGAGATCATTACTATTATACAGTGATGTTAAGATAGATATTTTCAGACTTTGTAAACCTTAGTACTGTGATTTATCTACCGTTACACTCGAGCCCTACAACTGCTACCAAAGATTAATTAAATTTAATTAAAATTTATTTACTAATTGCTTAGCATTTTGAGAAGCATCAGATGAAGTTGTTGTAATAATTGTACGATACTTGCATGGTAAGCTATAGTTTGAAAGTCTTGCATTGTATGACCACTACAGGTTTTGTGCTTTCTTGTGAATAAAATGATGATACAGTCTGGAACTGGTATCATTTGCATTTTAATTTGCTAATGTTACCACTGTCCTTCAAGAGTAACTGTTTTCTTAAATTGACAAATGCTGTTCCAGTTATTGCTGAAATTTATGTAACACCTTTTATTAAACACATTTCTTTTAATTTAGTGTATAGAACATGATTCATTTATATTAGTGCTCAGCCTATTGTACCATTTTGTCTGACCTGGTTGTGGTACAGTTCTTTCTATGCTGATTATAATACTATTTTTTTTTTTCTATTCGCCGGTACTCTCCCGGCCCGGGTCTTTTCCAAGGAGTGGTGACCCGGCCTTGGCTCCCTATCTGGGGAGTATCTCGAGACCTAAGTCTCCCATGGGAGGAGGTACAAGTACCCCCTCATCTTTGGGACCAACTGTCCCCAGACCTATGATTATAATACTATTTTCTCTATGATACCGTTTCTTAATGCACTGCTTTACATCATTTTCCCCACCAGGCATGGTAGGCTCGGTAACCATGTTATACAAGACTGATTTTTGTCATGTAGTTAGACTTCTATCGGACATCATGTAATCATGTGTGTTTCTGACTTTCCACCTGAAAAATGATGTCCTCAGTCATCCTAATCAACGGTATTGATGAAAGTCTTTCCCTCCAATTGGCGAGTTGAAATTAATACCCTGATATATTACTGAGGTGAGGGTGAGCAATACTGAACTAAAATGAGTTATGACTTTTCACTGTATACGTATATATGTACCATTTTTGTGCTTTTGTTGAATCTGTTGATTTTTTTAAGTTTATAGGCTCATTACAATTGCCTACAGCAAAGTATATATTCTCTCTGCTCTGTGGTCTTAATATATGAAAAATTCAGGTATAGTAGAAAACAAAACACTAGATACAGGGGTAAATGGGTTATGGAGATAGTGATTAACTCGGACAATATTAAACTAATGATTTGCTATTAAAAATAGACTTTTCTCTTGCAATGAATAATTGGGATAAAATGTTTATGATGATTATAGAAGTTATTTATGACAAAAGGACAAATTTAATACAGAGTTGCTTGTAAAACATTATTCAGAACGAAAATGTTTGACAGGTTGTGTACCTCCCATTGTGAATAATGCTGGAGGATGGGGAGTCATGCCATATAGCAAGGAATGTTTGTCACACTGACAGGGATAGGCAGGAAATGTGTGATTGTTCAGTTTTCTGAATGAGAAAATAGCTGTAGTTTATAGAGCATACAGAATGAGAGAATCAGGAGTTGTTAACAGTAGGGAGGGACCAGCCTCGTTTCCTCCTCACTGGAAACAAACTTTGAAGATATATCTTTAGAAATTATGCTCATTTATCTTATGATTAGGACATTTTTGCACAAAAAATGTATCTAATCATGAGATTCATTAGGCTATCCAGCCAAGATTTGTCTTCTGTTTGTCCTTCCCTTACTCATAATGGAAGGTATAGAAAATGATAGGGATTATATTTGATATATGGTTGTTATTTTTTTTATAATCACTTATTACTTACTGTAATTACTGTACAATATCCTTGAGAGGCTACATTATTTAATAAAAATGTCTGGCTTAAGACTTTGGTGTTTCATCTTACATGAAATAGCAGGAATTTTTAACACCAGTTGATTGGATAATGCCGAGCAACTCTTTTCAAGAAGTTGATGGTTTCGAATTTGTTCTTACAGACCCCTTCAAGGGAAGTGCCTTGGTGCTGGTGATGGACCCCTAATCCAAGGAAATGGAGTTTCTCTTGTTTTCCTTGGATAAGTCTCAATTACCTCCCAAGGCACTGCATGATCCCTATGGGTTTTGCAGATTTCATTTTCTTATATCTTTTAAGATACTGTAATATTTGCATCATATAGCATGATATCTTTTAAACATGAGTCCTGACGCCATGTAGGTTTCCATCAGTAGTTGACAGTGAGATCAACAAGAGGGACATGCGACATCCCAGGACTTGATGGCTTCTCCTTCACACGTCTACACTACTGATGCCATCTTCATCCTGGGAAAGAAGACAATATTTAATAAGATTAATGTATGCTAGCCATAAAACAAAAAACAACAAAAAAACTGTTACATGATACTAACCTTTCAAGCTGTATGGCCCATTTGGTTTTAACATTTTTGTAATATAATACCTTTCTACTGAGTGTCCTCTTGAAGAGCACTCCTTGACAGTGAGAAAAGTGCTTCCAGTAAAACTTTGATATTTCATTCAGGACTGAACTTGATCAAGTATACAAAAACATATAGAAAGCCTTGTACAGCAAATGAGCACCATGAAGTCAGGCTCAGGAGAGGTCACAAGGAAACAAGCGAGGACATGAGGAGAGAGCTCAGACAGTATGCGTATTTTACATGCTGTTGTGTGTGTGGGGGGGGGGCTGGCTGGCATGAGGCCAAGTCCAAAGAAAACTTTTAATTATGTAAACATGGTACAGTATGCACAATAGGACCTTGTTTAGTTCGATAGTGTCACAAATATGCATTATGGCTGCTTTCAGAATCTTGTGTCTAGTGTGATCCTCCTTGAGATAAAACTGTTCTCCTGCTCCATAGTCCATGTGTGAGAGTGTAGATTGCTGTGAATCACACATCCATTGCTAACTTTTGTCCATCCTGGAAGTATATTTGTTTTCCTGCAGGCCAATCTGAAGGTTGTGCCCTGTCTTCCTAGCATGTACCTTAGTACAACCTCCACACTGAATGCTGTAAATCCCTGCAGCAGTGGTACTCTACAGTCTGTGAGGTCTGGTATCACTGCTGCAGGGGTTTACAGCATTCCCTGTGGAGCATGTAGGAAGGTATACATTGGGAAGACAGATCATGACCTTCCAACTCACCTGCTGAACAAATGTACTTACTGGATGGACAAAATCTACAATGCGATGCATCGTTCACTACACTCACACATGAACTATTGAGCAACAGAACAGTTTTATTTGGATTATTATTATTACAATCAAAACTAAGTGCTAAACCCACAAGTGTCATACAGCTGGAGGAGTTTCAAGCCAGACACAGGATTCTGGAAGCAGCCATGATACATATATATGAGGCTATTAGACAAGGCAGTGTACACACTGGTAGGTCCTACTGTGCATGTTGTACATGTGTAGAGGGCTTAAGGGCTTTTGTTCCAAGTCATCCAACTTATCCTCTCTTGGATCAAATTTGATTACTTTCCATACCCTGGGTACTTTATGCCCCTCAAGGGAGATTCCTTGATGCTGGTGAGGGGCTCTTGATCTAGGGAATTGGATCTGTGCTCCAGTTCCCTGAGTTGAGCCTGAATACTTTCCATCCACCCCACATGTGCTGTATAACCCTACGGGTTTAGCGCTTCCCTGTGATAATAATGGGTACTATACAACTCATAGGGTTTAGCACTTGATTTTGATTATAATAATATATGACTCCTATAGATTCACTGCTTCCTCCATGAATGTAATAATAATCCTTATTTTTTCTCATGAGCTTAGCCTTGCAGCTTTTTAAGACCCATATGGCTTTAGCACATTTTGTGAATACAATAATAACAAGGCACTGTATAACCCCTGTGAGTTTGACACTTCCCCAATAAATATAATGTAAAAGTAAAGAATAGTTTAGAATTTATGTTTAATACCTTACATATACCTGTATAATGATACTGGGATTATTAATGGGAGCATATTAGACACAACTAGGTGTTCTGTTTGTGTGACCCAAGAGAGGGATGGCCCATACCACATAACCCCACCCTTAGGTAACCAATGTCCCAGTTTGATAAAACTAGCAAATTAGAACATACTCAGCTCAAAACTAATCTGAACCCTTCCCTCTGTAAGATACATCATCAGTGAAACTTTGATGCCAATCAAAAGAGGCAGTAACAAGTTACTGCATGGACACCACTAAGTATCTCTGTTTTGGGAATACCTAAGGTGTGAGTGGTAGGGAATATACCTATAAAGTACAGCATTTTGGTCACTCAAAACATTAGAAATAGGTACAGTAGTCCCTTCGTATCCACGGGGACTATGTTCCAAAACCTACCGTGAATACCCGAAACTCTGGATAGTAGCAAACCCTATATACAAGTCATTTTTCATTTACATACATGAATATGATAGTTTAATCGATAAATCATACACAATTAGTCAAGAATTAGCATTTTTTCACTGATGGAAGCACTTCACGGCTTCTGTTAGACACTGAAGAACTTCCAGCATCACTATTGTGCTTTGTGGCCATTATTTAGCAAAATTAAGGGTTATTTTTGGGCCACGGTAAACAGCAGATAACAAACTGCAGAAACCGAACCCGCGGATACGAGGGTTCTACTGTATGTGTGTGTCCCTTAAGGAAGGTTCCTTGATGTTGGTGAGGGGCTCTTGATTTAGGGAATTGGATCTGTGCTCCAGTTCCCCGAATTAAGCCTGAATGCCTTCCACATCCCCCCCCCAGGCGCTGTATAATCCTCCGGGTTTAGCGCTTCCCCCTTGATTATAATAATAATAATAATAATCTACTGTATGTATTTATTCAATATTTTGAGAACTAACCTTAAGACTTAGCAGAGGGTGTGGCACTGTATGGGATGAAGAGTGCCTTGCTTGATGCAGGATTTGAGGCAGTCAAGGTGCTTGTTCTGTGATGCTCCTGCAACATGATGCAACAGTCAACACAAGTAACAGAGGAGGCATTCTCTAATTACATGAGAAACAATTTTCCTAATAAAAGTGGCAAATGGAAATTTGTACAACTCTTAGTAGTAAAAGTTTGAAGGCAATCCGAAAAGTGATTCTCTGATTACAACTATTCAAAGTTTATTAACTATTTTAGTAAAATTTCAAATTTACACGAACTTGGACTAAACTATAACACATCACTATCTTCGGCTAGCATTTTTACTGCTGAATTGTATGCCATTCTTGCAGCACTTATTCGTATCGCATCTATGCCTGTGTCATCATTTGTAGTAGTCTCAGACTCCCTTAGTGCTCTACAGGCTATACGAAAATTTGATACATCTCACCCCCCTAGTTCTCCGTATCCAACTTTGGCTACGCCGTATCTCTACCAAGAATAAAGAGAATAAAGATATTGTTTTTTGTTGGTCCCTGGTCATGTCGACGTACAGGGCAATGAACAGGCAGACACTGCTGCGCGGTTAGCAGTACATGACCTACCAATTTCCTATAGAGGTGTTCCATTTCTGGACTAATTTGCTGCAATAGCTACCCACCTTCACACCCGTTGGCAACAACGTTGGTCAACTCTGCTCGGTAACAAACTTCATTCTATTAAACCGAGCATAGGTTACTGGCCGTCTTCTTGTCATCAGTGCCGAGGTTGGGAGACCACTCTCTCCCGTCTTCGCATTGGCCACACTCGTCTTACTCATGGGTATCTCATGGAGAGGCACCCTGTTCCTCTCTGTGAGCAGTGTCAAGTTCCACTATCGATTAGCCACATTCTGTTAGACTGCCTTCTCTATCAACGAGCACGCAGAATTTACCTCCAACGTCGTCTTCGTTCTACTACTCTCTCTTTACCTTCCCTTCTTGCTGATGGACCCTCCTTTAATTCTGACTCTCTCATTGACTTCTTGACAACGACTGATTTACTCCACAAACTCTGATGATGATACCTTTCGCACTCCCCTCAGCCCTTTCTAACTCAATCTCTTGCTGCCCTTTTACCATCCACTGCCCCGCTGTTATCCGTAACCTATTACTCATCCACTTAATGTGGACTACTGTGGCTACCTACTCCAGGATAGCCTTACAACTTCAGGCTACTTACTCCGAGCTATCTCTCCCCGACGGTGGTGTCCACCTCCCCACCACTTCTTCTGTGCCACAGGGAATCCCACTACAGACAACGTTCGCTGCTTGTGTTGTAGCTGCGGCTGCTGCTGCAGGCGCTTGGGCTTATTATGCTGCTGTTGCTGTGTCCATGCCTTCAGTCTGGCCAGATCCACAGACGGTAGCCTACACCAAATAAAATATTGTTTTATGAATTACTATGGAAGAAGTAAAAGCAACAAGCTGATATGTGACAATATGAGAAATTGAAAACCTATACTGAGATAATATTTGACTTAGAAAAAGAGCTTTTTCAAGTCACTAAAGTGCATTTATTTTATTTTATAATTTGAATATACAGAGGTACAAAAAAAATACAGGTAAGAGCAGCATGCCAAAGCCACTTATATGCATAGCATTACGGGCAAGCTTAAAATTAACTTAAGATTAACTAAGCAATGATGTAATCAGTGATAAAACATTATTGTAAACAGATAACAAAGCACAAATGAGTATTACAAAGACAGGTCATATGGTTGCATACATTGCTGTACATTCAGTAGAATGGAGTATTCTGTTAGGTAGTGTATTTAAAAAATAAAGTTAGATTGGGTCTTAGGTTTAACATTTATGTGATATAATTATGAGAAACATTTAAGATATACAATTTATAAGGTTCAGTTATTCAGTATTTATGTGGTTTTGGGTGAGTAAGTGGCTTAGCGCTTCTTTTTGATTATAATAATAATAATTGGGTGAGTAAGTGAGCAGGTATAAGTACATAGTGGGAATAGCAGGTGAGCAGTAGTAGTGAGGTGAATACCTATGTCAGGTGAAGAGGGGCAATGTGTCTGCTAAGGTGTATACAGTTATTTTTATCCATTTTAATCAGGAGGGCTAAACCCACTAGAGTCAATAATGCATGGGGCAAGGGAGACATTCAGGTTCAATTTAAGTGAATGATATCAATTCCTTGGTTCAAGTGCCCCTCCCATGAGTGACATACCAACTGGCAAGTTCCTTGGTTCTGGGTGATGTGTCTCGTATGAATGAGGGTTGATCCAAGTCATTTTCATGTGTTTCTGACTTTCTGAACAAGGAATGAAGCTCATACTTGACAGTTACCAAGTCAGGACTTGCGGGTATGCATGGGCTCAGACAGGAATGAGGCATACATCACACCTGTCACCAAGAAAATTTCCTTGACGCTGGTGATTGGCTCTTGATCTAAGGAACTGGACCTGTGCTACAATTTCTTAAATGAAGCCTGAATACCTTCCATTCCTCCCAGGCATGGCATGACCCTTACAGGTTTAGCAATCCCCCGTTGATTTAATAATAAACACCGCTCCTCACAAATTGACCTGGTTTTTGGCAAAATCCAATCTAATTTGATTGGCACTATCAGTAGTAGACACTTCCAGCACTCCAGTGATCAATCCATGATGAAGTACATTGTTACCTTAGTTTATGTTCCATTGTTCACTATGTTCTAACAGACCAGCTATCTATCACTGTCTTCCTAGACAATGTCACGGACGATGGAATAGCTGCAACCCGCAATAATTTCATTGATATTATCAAGTTATTTGTAAGTTACAACTGCTTCTCCATCGATAACAAAAAGGCACAATACCGTGACTGGAACGATACACAAATAACCCGCACATAAAAGACAGAAGCTTACGACGACGTTTCGGTCCGACTTGGACCATTGACAATGAACAAACAACAACAACAACAACAGCAACAGCAGCAGCCGCCGCCGCCGCCGCCGCCGGGTATGGCTGTGGGTTGTCCACTCGCATGGTCTTCCCGAATCTCTATACAGACCTGAAGCTCTGTATGACCTTGTGGATTTAGCACTTAGTTTTGATTATAATAATCTACAGAGTTATCAGAGGCAAACTGTGACATCATTTCTGCTCGACTATCTGGATAATATATGTTGATGATATCCTTATCATTACACTCAACCAGGATGTCATTATAGGCGGGACGGAATGGACTATTAATAATAAAATGCTGAACTGAAAGAAATCTTTTTTAAAAACATTTTCCAGGATGTCAACTTTCTAAAACTATCATGACCATTGGTCAATACATTGGTGAAAATTAGACATTAATATAAAGAAATGAAAAAATATTTTCATCTGGGGGGGGGGGGATCCTAAATCCTCTTATTCTTCTTCGCCCCCGTGGCTACACTAATGCTCAGAAAATATCTCTCTTCCAGTTCAGAACTATGTTAGTGCTACTGAGTCTTCCAGTCAGTTCATCTTAAAAGAGGAAAACATTCTTCCTTTCCTCAACGTCCATGTATACAAAACACTGGTTTCTTTCTATGGGCTCTCGGAATCTGCAGGCCAGATATCCATGCACCTGGGCCTCCGCTGGTACGCGTCTGACTCGTCTCAGAGAGAATTTCTCCTGTCTGTCGCTAGTCTTGCAACGCTGCATAGCTCCTGACGACGCACGAGAGAGTGAAAGATCTAGAGCTAAAGATTTTCATCCCTATGTGGCTTGTTCTGCATTTTCAAGATTGCTTGTTTGCGAGTGTAATACACACCTAAGAAGCAAGATTGCTACCCGTCTAGAAACCCATCAATTACACAACCCAGGGCAACATGGGTTTACAGCAGGTCGCTCCTGTCTGTCTCAACTATTGGATCACTACGACAAGGTCTTAGATGCACTAGAAGACAAAAACAATGCAGATGTAATATATACAGACTTTGCAAAAGCCTTCGACAAGTGTGACCATGGCGTAATAGCGCACAAAATGCATATTAAAGGAATAACAGGAAAAGTTGGTAGATGGATCTATAATTTCCTCACAAACAGAACACAAAGAGTAGTAGTCAACAGAGTAAAGTCTGAGGCGGCTACGGTGAAAAGCTCTGTTCCACAAGGTACAGTACTCGCTCCCATCTTGTTCCTCATCCTCATATCTGACATAGACAAAGATGTCAGCCACAGCACCGTGTCTTCCTTTGCAGATGACACCCGAATCTGCATGACAGTGTCTTCCATTGCAGACACTGCAAGGCTCCAGGCGGACATCAACCAAATCTTTCAGTGGGCTGCAGAAAACAATATGAAGTTCAACGATGAGAAATTTCAATTACTCAGATATGGTAAACATGAGGAAATTAAATCTTCATCAGAGTACAAAACAAATTCTGGCCACAAAATAGAGCGAAACACCAACGTCAAAGACCTGGGAGTGATTATGTCGGAGGATCTCACCTTCAAGGACCATAACATTGTATCAATCACAGCTGCTAGAAAAATGACAGGATGGATAATGAGAACCTTCAAAACTAGGGAAGCCAAGCCCATGATGACACTCTTCAGGTCACTTGTTCTATCTAGGCTGGAATATTGCTGCACACTAACAGCACCTTACAAGGCAGGTGAAATTGCTGACCTAGAAAATGTACGGAAAACCTTCACGGCGCGCATAACGGAGATAAAACACCTCAATTACTGGGAGCGCTAGAAGTTCCTGAACCTGTATACCCTGGAACGCAGGCGGGAGAGATACATGATTATATACACCTGGAAAATCCTAGAGGGACTAGTACCGAACTTGCACACGAAAATCACTCACAACGAAAGCAAAAGACTTGGCAGACGATGCAACATCCCCCCAATGAAAAGCAGGGGTGTCACTAGCACGTTAAGAGACAATACAATAAGTGTCAGGGGCCCGAGACTGTTCAATCGCCTCCCAGCATACATAAGGGGGATTACCAATAGATCCCTGACAGTCAAGCTGGCACTGGACAAGCACCTAAAGTCGGTACCTGACCAGCCGGGCTGTGGCTCGTACGTTGGATTGCGTGCAGCCAGCAGTAACAGCCTGGTTGATCAGGCTCTGATCCACCAGGAGGCCTGGTCGCAGACCGGGCCGCGGGGGCGTTGACCCCCGGAACTCTCTCCAGGTAAACACACACACACACACACACGGAGGCAACAACGAGTCATGGTACATGACGAGGTGTCAGAGTGGGCGCTTGTGACAAGCGGGGTTCCACAGGGGTCAGTCCTAGGACCTGTGCTATTTTTGGTATATGTGATTGACATAATGGAAGGGATAGGCTCAGAAGTGTCCTTGTTTGCAGATGATGTAAAGTTAATGAGAATCAAATCGGTCGAGGATCAGGCAGGACTACAAAGAGACCTGGACAGGCTACAAGCCTGGTCCAGCAACTGGCTCCTTGAATTTAATCCTGCCAAATGCAAAGTCAAGAAGATCGGGGAAGGGCAAAGAAGACCGGAGACACAGTATAGTCTAGGTGGCCAAAGACTGCAAACCTCACTCAAGGAAAAAGATCTTGGGGCGAGTATAATACCGAGCACATCTCCTGAGGCGCACATCAATCAGATAACTGCTGTAGCGTACGGGCGTCAGACAAACCTAAGGATAGCGTTCCGATACCTCAGTAAGGAATCGTTCAAGATTCTGTACAACATATACATCAGGACCATACTGCAGTATGCAGCACCAGTTTGGAATCCACACCTGGTCAAGCACGTCAAGAAATTAGAGAAAGTGCAAAGGTTTGCAACAAGACTAGACTGTAATAAAGTTGGTAGAATTACCGACAATATGTAAAGTAAAAGGACACAAGTGCAACTAATGTGACATTTTATTGTGGCAACGTTTCGCTCTCCAAGAGCTTTATCAAGCCATCTCATGAAATTCAGAGACGCCCAATTAGTGATCAAAGAAACTAATTTCCGCACACGCAAGTGCCTTGAATCAGCACTGATCGCTGTTTCGAATACAATTAAACAAAACAACGGCAGCTTCACCATCTCTGAAGTCTTAGCAAGAATCCTCCTGAAAACAGTAAACCCTGCCATCACATAGTCTCTCCTGTTATACTACACAAAGCACATTACAGAGAGTCAACACTGAAACAAGCTGCCTCTATCCAGTCTATATTTGTCCAACCTATTTTTATGTTACCCAAGTAATAGCTTTTATGTCCTTTTACTCATGTACGAATTAATTGCTCTACCATATTGTATTACTTTTGTCACTACCACTACTACTACTACTACCACTAGTGAGCATCTAAATGGTACCTCACTAGTATTGCACCTCACTCTGAGCCTATATATACCCTCTGTGTCCATGTATTGTTTGTAATGGTTTGATAAAGCTCTTGGAGAGCGAAACGTTGCCACAATAAAATGTCACATTAGTTGCACTTATGTCCTTTTACTTTACAACAAGACTAGACCTAGAAAGGTTAAGGGAAATTGGCCTCACGACACTGGAGGGCAGGAGGGTCAGGGGAGACATGATAACGACATATAAAATACTGCGCGGAATAGACAAGGTGGATAAAGACAGGATGTTCCAGAGATGGGACACAGAAACAAGAGGTCACAATTGGATATTGAAGACTCAGATTAGTCAAAGAGATGTTAGAATGTATTTTTTAAGTCATAAAGTAGTCAGGAAGTGGAATAGTCTGGCAAGCGATGTAGTGGAGGCAGGAATCATACATAGTTTTAAGGCGAGGTATGATAAAGCTCATGGAGCAGGGAGAGAGAGGACCTAGTAGCGATCAGTGAAGAGGCGGGGCAAGGAGCTGTCTCGACCCTTGCAGCCACAAATAGGCGAGTACACACACATATATGCATACATATATATTAATGCACCCACGAACGAGGGATTGTTAGGCAAACAACAACACTGTGACAAGCCAGGGATCAAACCCCTAACATTTTAGCATTCCTCCAAAACCCGCTTAAAGTCCGAAACTCCTCCTTTCTACAGTCAATATTTCTACGAGCACATGATACAACTTGTACAGACCATAGCTGACATTAGTGACATACTATATAGAAGCCCCTGGTTATGTAGAACATTTCCGGCAAAGTAGGCTAATTTTGTCCCCAGGATGCGACCCACACTCATCTATTTACCGCTTGGTGAACAGTGACAGCAGGTATCTTAAGGAAACACTAAGCCATCCATGCTACAAAACATTAAGTGTCCAGTACCACTGGGCATGTAACTCCTGTTTTTATATATAATATATAATGAAGAGAGAAAGAGAGAAATAAGACAAGTATTTGAGGAGCTGTAAGAGAACAGAGTTACATGGCCTGAGGGCTGTAGCAAGGCTGAATACCTCTTGTCAAATCTCAAGACGCTGGCTGCCCATTATTATATATCTGCTGGCTGGCTAATTGGCCTCCATAAGTCACAATTCACCCGAGGCCATTATCGAGTAGACAATAAACGCCAAGTAAAAATAGCAGAGGAATGGCAGGTTACCTATTTGTAAGCTACACTGCATTGGCATGACAATTGAGATCAGTTGGTGACCGTAGCTTAGAATAGCACCGAGTGGTCACTGCTATTATTTGTGAGTTATTAGGTTAGTGTTCATATATCTACCTAGTCTCACCATCACTATCAGTTTGTTAGTTTTATTATGCAACCTGTGTTCATCCTGTTGGCGGTAGCCATCATGTTCATCCTGTTGGCGGTAGCCATCTCATGTTCATCCTGTTGGCAGTAGCCATCATGTTCATCCCGTGGGCGCTGGCAACGTTTACATTTGGTTAAGTCTGCACCACCTTTCCCAGGTAGCTGTAACCCACCCAGCCTGGGATGGGTCATGGTGGCACCCAAGTGTGTGCTCAGCCTGGGCCAGGCAGTGGTGGCACCCAAGTGTGTGTTCAGCCTGGGCCAGGCAGTGGTGGCACCCAAGTGTGTGTCCAGCCTGGGCCAGGCAGTGGTGGCACCCAAGTGTGTGCTCCGTGTATTGGATGGATCATAGACATGTCTCTCTTCCTGCATGATAACGTGATATTAAGTAGATTTACTGGTGTCATTCTTCCTTTATTCTAAGTTTCTTAAGTTTAGCTAAAGTTCTTGTCATATTATTGTCCCGAGATTACTAGTGGACAGACCAAAGTTATAATCGAATCCCTTCTTGTGCACACAACCTTGTCAACTTATCATTACCAGTGCAACTTGCTAAGGTACCAGAACTTTAGGGGCCAGTCCACTCGTCCATTATGTACCTCTGTGATCTTTCAACTACTGCTCACAATAACGGTGCAGGATGCATAATAAAGGTGTTAATTTTCATTTTATTCACAGGGAAGCGCTACACCAGCAAGGACCACAAAGCACCTCGGGAATAGGAGGCATTCTGGTTCGAGCCAAAGAAGGGCCGATTAAATCCCTTTCCTAGGATCAAGAGCCCTTCACCGGCATCAAGGCACTTCCCTTGAGAGGGACAAATATATTAAACTCACTTTTTTTAGTTGACATTAAGCACCAGTAACTCATTACAGTTGTGACCGGGTGTGGAAGTGTGAATTGCTCATTACACTATAATTTGTTCATGATTGTAGCCATGTATAAACGTAAGTAACCATTCTTACAGAATTCATTACCTTTGTAACTTGTGAGCTCATTACCTTTGTACCTAGTTCAGCTATCAAAACTTTGGGGGCCCAGTCCCTGGACCCATTACGTACCTCTGTAATCTGTAAATACCTTTGTAACTTGTCATGATTGTGACCAGACCTACCTGGAGTTCATTACCTTTGTAAATTGTGAGTTCATTACCTTTGTAAATTGTGAGTTCATTACCTTTGTAAATTGTGAGTTCATTACCTCTGTAACTTGCTCAGCTATCAAAACTTTGGAGTCCAGTCCCTGGACCAATTATGTACCTCTGTAATCTTTTGACTACCGCCCACAGGATGGGTATGGGGTGCATAATAAACATATTAAACTAACATTAAGCAGCTGAAGACAAGTAAGTGAGGAAAGTCACAACTCTCTTCTTCGTGAAGTGACAAAACCTTCAGTTAGCTGTGACCAAGTGAATCGCTGCTACATCAACAAACTACGAAGACAACATCTACAACAAACTACAAAGACAACATCTACAACAAACTACGAAGACAACATCTACAACAAACTACGAAGACAACATCTACAACAAACTACAAAGACATCTACAACTACAAAGACAACATCTACAACAAACTACAAAGACAACATCTACAACAAACTACAAAGACAACATCTACAACAAACTACAAAGACAACATCTACAACAAACTACAAAGACAACATCTACAACAAACTACAAAGACAACATCTACAACAAACTACAGATACAAAAATATCACCTGAATTCCATTCGATCCAGTTCTTGAGGAAAGGCGAAACCAGTGACTTCATGGGATGCTTGGCTTGTGATTGGTCTAGACGCTGCGAGGCTAGTGACGTCACGGAGTTTCTGGCCTGTGATTGGTCTAGACTCTGCGAGGCTAGTGACGTCACGGGGTTTCTGGTCTGTGATTGGTCTCGACTCTGCAGGAGTGGCGGAGTGCAAGAGGAGTTCTCGTAAGAAACTTTCCTCGGGTGAAAGAAGAATATATCTCTCAGGGAGGTAGGGCTGGGGGGGTCTTCCCAGGTCCCTGCTACTGCTGCTGCTGCTACTACTACTGCTGCTGCTACTGCTATCACCGCTGTTAGGCACGCTGATGCTGCTGAAGATACTGTTCTCGCCTTCCCTCGTTGCTGCTGCACCATTCCACAGGTTGCCTCCTGCAAAAGGAAATGTGCGTGAGTGAGAGTGAGATATATATACATACATATATATATATATATATATATATATATATATTATATATATATATATATATATATATGTCGTGCCGAATATGTAAAACTGGTCAATTAGCAAGAACTCATTTAAAATTAAGTCTTTTCTAAAATTTTCTCTTATACGTTTAAAGATATACTTTTTTCATTAATGTTAATGTAAAAAAATTGAATTTTGCTCCAAAAGAATCTTAGAAAACTTACCTAACCTTATTATAACAAGAACAATTTATTTTAGCCTAACCCAACTAAAATATATTTTAGATTTGCTTACAATAATTTAATACTAAACAAACACATTGAAATATTTTTTTCGTTAGGTTCAGAATGATTTTGGCGAAATTATTGCATACACAATTTTCGCTTGTCCTATATGGCAAGATGAGCGTTGCTATTTAAGCCAAGATCGCAAGTTCTGCGCTATTCGGCACGACATTATATATATATATATATATTATATATATATATTTATATATATATATATATATTATATATATATATATATATATATATATATTATAAGATCACAGTATACAGGTTATGTCACATTCATGTGAGAAATCACGAAAGCGCTTGGAGGTTCACTGTTCTTTTCACAGTGGTTGTTCTGCGTGTATGTGCACACACAACGACTGTTTCCCAACTATGGCAGGGAACCCAAAAGAAAATCAGATTCACATATATTAATCGCCAATGTCGTCTACACCTGCACCTCCAACACTCTCACCCACACCTGCACCTCCAACACTCCTTCACCAGCCACAACTGGAATTAAGGTAATTGAACAGGTGACATGTGTTAATATTACCATCGTGCGTGACACAGGTCATTAGGTACTCCTGGGAGAGTGAGATGAGGCGTCAGGTACCCTGGTGAGGGAAGCTGACTGGTAACAAGTGATCATCGTTGCTTTGTTCTCTTCTCTCATATTATTCTCTCTCTATATATAGAATTATTATTATAGTTATTATTAAAGTTCGCTAAACCCGTATGGGTCATACTGCTGCGGTGTGGGAATGTGTGAGGAAAGGTGTTACCTGGATGGGGTTTCGGGGGTGAACGCCCCAGGGGGCCAGGTCTGAGACCAGGCCTCATGGTGGATCAGGGTCTAATCAACCAGGCTGTTACTGCTGGTCGCATGTAAACCGAATCTGAGGTTAGTACCAGATACTGAAAATGTGATTATCCGCGAGGTGAGTTAGAGTGACTGTCAGGGTGTTCTTATAGCTGCTGGAAGTTAATTCTGCACGTTATCTGATAGCACAGCAAGACATAATGACCTGAGAGCTCGACCTGGCGGTTGTTACGAGGCAATAGGTAGGTAGGTGTGTGTGTACTCACCTATTTGTACTCGCCTATTTGTGGTTGCAGGGATCGAGTCTTAGCTCCTGGCCCCACCTCTTCACTGGTCGCTACTAGGTCACTCTCCCTGAACCGTGAGCTTTATCATACCTCTGCTTAAAGCTATGTATGGATCCTGCCTCCACTACATCGCTTCCCAAACTATTCCACTTACTGACTACTCTGTGGCTGAAGAAATACTTCCTAACATCCCTGTGATTCATCTGTGTCTTCAACTTCCAACTGTGTCCCCTTGTTGCTGTGTCCAATCTCTGGAACATCCTGTCTTTGTCCACCTTGTCAATTCCTCTCAGTATTTTGTATGTCGTTATCACGTCTTCCCTATCTCTCCTGTCCTCCAGTGTCGTCAGGTTGATTTCCCTTAACCTCTCCTCGTAGGACATACCTCTTAGCTCTGGGACTAGTCTTGTTGCAAACCTTTGCACTTTCTCTAGTTTCTTTACGTGCTTGGCTGTTACAAAAAACTCGATTCTAAAAGCTTAGAGATCTCCAGTGAATACTAGAAAGGACTGCCCTTCTAGCATCCAGCCTGTTACTGGGTTTTCGTAACAAGTAGTCAGTATCCTTGTCCAATTATCCATTAGAATTCAGTATTATTCAATAGTGCTTCAGGGTTACAACTGGTAGGCTACTAACTAGAGAAATTAAAATTTAATAAATTTATTAAGTATCGTCTAGAGGTATATCAAATTAAATTAAATTAATCAATTCAAACAAATTAATAATAATCACTTCTCTCGTGTGCAATAGTATTGTGCTGAAAGCACATATCACATTTATAAGTCTTAAGTACCGTCTGGTCATTAACATTTAATAAGATATTACAAATATGTACAAGTAAGTATGTGTGTAAGTGCTCTAAGTAGTTCGCTATGTCTCACGACTCGACTAGAGTTAAACAAATGACTGACAAAGTCCTCTCATAAACTAAGTTCTTGACCAACTGGCAATCAGAACAGTCTGCTTGAACAATAAAACGACTGATAAGCCGAACAACAATATAACAAGCAACTGCGACACAATCAAGAACAAGGAGATTGTGGCATGCAAAGAGTACGTAACCTTTATTCGGCGCATGTACACACCCTCATTTACAGGCTATCTCCCCCAACCAGCGAACCAGGTTGCTAAGAGTTGATGATGGGGCCCCGTCGTTCAACTAGTGACCAGGTTCTAGCCAATAAGAAGATGATTTTGGCAATCGCAGAGGTTATGTGGGTACCGCTCTCCTGTCTGCCCTTGTCATTCCCATTCTAGAGCTGGTTGAAGCACGGTCTGCTATCCTGTGGCTTCTAATTCTGCCTTGCTTACCGTGGAATGCACTATACTTATCACTGTACATAGTGTACATATTGCTGTTCTAAATTGGTGAAGGATAATATAAGTCTAAACTTTTTCTGCTGTGTTTATTTTGCTCCCATTACACCCGGGATAACAGGCCATTTGGAATCCTGGGTTGTAATAGAGATAATATAACGACACTAAGTAGGGACCATCAGCAGATCCTCCACAAAAGTCACCAGGCTCCCATAATACTGAATCTAAGTTCAGCATAAGAAAATCACCGACTGTGACAGTACACAGATACCAGTACAAGTTAGGTCAGAAGCTACAGCTCAGGACCTGAGTTGCTCAGTGTGTCTATGAGACACACAACCTCAGTACAACGTCGAAAATCACTAAGTCTATACAATGTTCTGTGAACAGTCTCTCCAGAACTAACAAGAAAGCTAGAGACGATCTTCCAACAAGGGCCAATAAGGGAGATTTAGGCTCTTGTCAGGGATACGTCCAACCACCAAGAGTGTCTAGACCAGAATGAATACTTCAGGCAAGGTGAGGACACCCCCCCTCGATCACGTGATAGCTCCGTGGACAGTTGCTGCTCAGCAACAGAAGCCGGCAGGGAAACGAGACAAGCGATAATTACAGTAGTTAGACAATCAAGACTTGAACTGAGCACATATGTTACATCCTACCTAACAACATAACCAAGTCAAATAATAATATAAAGAAATATATTTACGATTTAGCTATTATCACAAATATAAGCAATATAAAATTATATGAAAATATACATTATATTCATAATCATAATATACATTGTAACCCATTCAGGGGTTGCAACATTGGCTACGTGTGGGTTCCAAACTGGTGCCGCATACTCCAATATGGGCCTAACGTACACGGTGTACAGGGTCCTGAACGATTCCTTATTAAGATGTCGGAATGCTGTTCTGAGGTTTGCTAGGCGCCCATATGCTGCAGCAGTTATTTGGTTGATGTGCGCTTCAGGAGATGTGCCTGGTGTTATACTCACCCCAAGATCTTTTTCCTTGAGTGAGGTTTGTAGTCTCTGGCCCCCTAGACTGTACTCTGTCTGCGGTCTTCTTTGCCCTTCCCCAATCTTCATGACTTTGCACTTGGTGGGGTTGAACTCCAGGAGCCAATTGCTGGACCAGGTCTGCAGCCTGTCCAGATCCCTTTGTAGTTCTGCCTGGTCTTCGATCGAGTGAATTCAACTTCACGTCATCTGCAAACAGGGACACCTCAGAGTCTAATCCTTTCGTCATGTCGTTCACAAATACCAGAAACAGCACTGGTCCTAGGACTGACCCCTGTGAGACCCCGCTGGTCACAGGTGCCCACTCGGACACCTTGCCACGTACCATAACTCGCTGCTGTCTTCCTGACAAGTATTCCCCGATCCATTGTAGTGCCTTCCCTGTTATCCCTGCTTAGTCCTCCAGTTTTTGCACCAATCTCTTGTGTGGAACTGTCAAATGCCTTCTTGCAGTCCAAGAATATGCAATCCACCCACCCCTCTCTCTCTTGTCTTACTGCTGTCACCATGTCATAGAACTCCAGTAGGTTTGTGACACAGGATTTCCCGTCCCTGAAACCATGTTGGCTGCTGGTGATGAGATCATTCCTTTCTAGTGTTCCACCATTCTTCTCCTGATAATCTTTTCCATGATTTTGCATGCTATACATGTCAGTGACACTGGTCTGTAGTTTAGTGCTTCATGTCTGTCTCCTTTTTTAAAGATTGGGACTACATTTGCTGTCTTCCATGCCTCAGGCAATCTCCCTGTTTCAATAGATGTATTGAATATAGTTGTTAGGGGTACACATAGCGCCTCTGCTCCCTCTCTCAGGACCCATCGAGAGATGTTATCTGGCCCCATTGCCTTTGAGGTATCTAGCTCACTCAGAAGCCTCTTCACTTCTTCCTCGGTTGAGTGTACTGTGTCCAGCGCTTGGTGGTGTACCCCACCTCTCCGTCTTCCTGGAGCCCCTTCTGTCTCCTATGTGAGTGTGAGTGTGTGAGTGTGAGAGTGTGTGAGTGTGTGTGTGTGTGAGTGTGAGAGTGAGTGTGAGTGTGTGAGAGTGAGTGTGAGAGTGAGAGTGTGTGAGTGTGTGTGTGTGTCTGTGTGTGTGTGTGTCTGTGTGTGTGTGTGTCTGTGTGTGTACTCACCTAATTGTACTCACCTAATTGTGGTTGCAGGGGTCGAGACTCAGCTCCGGGCCCCCGCCTCTTCACTGATCGCTACTAGGTCCTCTCTCTCTCTGCTTCCTGA